GACATGTGGAGTTAGCCATGCCCCTAGCTATGCCACAGTCTGTCTTTATCTGCACTTCTGCCTGGCATGTCCTAGGCTAACTTCCACACCTGGTACACAATTAGAATCCCCAGCTTACCAAGGTTTTCACCAAAAGTAAGTCACTAAGAATTAACATTGTAACATGTAATTAAGATTGCTAAAAAAAGTTTTATGTGCAAGATGTGTAAGAAAAGCGAAATGTGTCTTTTGGTAAAAGATTATAAGAAGACATGAGAATGTGAATTTTTCTTACCTAGATGAAAGGGTTAAAAGATTGTTTTAGCCCAGGCATGGTGGCTAACGCCTGTAATCCCAGCACTTTGGGAGGCTGAGGTGGGTGGATCACGAGGTCAGGAGATCAAGACCATCCTGGCTAACACAGTGAAACCCCGTCTCTACTAAAAATACAAAAAAAATTAGTCGGACGTGGTGGCGGGAGCCTGTAGTCCCAGCTACTTGCGAGGCTGAGGCAGAAGAAAGGCGTGAACCCGGGAGGCGGAGCTTGCAGTGAGCCAAGATCACGCCACTGCACTCCAGCCTGGATGACAGAGCAAGACTCTATCTCAAAAAAAAAAAAAGGATTATTTTAAATTAGAATCAAGCTGAAGCTTTAAGCAAGTTGTGGAAGGCTTGTGAAAAGTTAATCTTGTAAAAAAATTCTGTGTCTGAACAAATTGGCTACAGTTAAAGCAGTATTAATCAGTTTTTCTGTAAACTGAACATTGGAATAAAAGCACAACAGGTTTTTTCTTAGAGCAAAAACCTCCCTATGATCTGCTCTTTAATAAAAATGTGTAAAGGTAAGTTATCAAAGGCTTATGAGAATCTTACCTTATGGCCAAACTGATTAAGATGGAAGATATTTGTCTATAAGATTTCATTAAGAATTAATTGGGTTTGACATCAATGGTGCACTAATGCAACAGTGACATTTGGCTTATTTGGTACAAAAACCACTCAGGAAGCATTATCAAATGTGAAATGGTGTTTGGTTTTCTTTGGGCTATATTTATATAAATGTGTTATTGGTATATGTTCCAAAAGTATGGGAAAATCTTATAATTCTAATGTGACTTAGTGTATGTTATTAATAATTATAATTGTCACATAAAATCATTGTATGCCAAGAAGGCAACCAAATTTCATGTTTTTGATTGTGGCTGCCCTAAAACATTTTGTTATCCACAGACAATTGTCTTGTTGTAATCCTTTTTAGAAGGTGGTTTATAACCAACTATAGAGCTCTAACAGGTATTCTTAAATGCAGGTTTTTAATAACTTTGGAAATTGTGATATTATAAGAGAGAAAAAACTTTCAGAACTCTCATAGAAAGCTGAAATGTTAATGAATATCAAGCAAAACAGGAGTTAACTAAATTAACCAAACCAAGAACTAAAGTAATGTTTTTAACTTTACTTAAAATGTTGCTGATCCTTTGTTTTGTTTTTCAGAGTCAAGGAAACTTTTCTTTTGAGCTATTTACAGCTTTTAGCAATTGAGTAAAATACACTCCTGAGTAAACTATACTCCTGTGAACAAAATTTGGAGCATATTTCTCTGATTTCTTCAGAATTTGGAAACTGTGAGTATTCTTAATTTATGGCAATAGAGTTATTTGCATAAGCACAATAAAAATCTGATTTCTTTTGTAACAGGACACAATTAGAAAAACTGGTTATTTTACCAAGAATTTAACTGGAATGGGATGCTCTGCATTAAGGAATCACACTTGACTTGTAAAGCCAATAAAAGCCCCTTGGGGAAATGCCTCATATTTTGTCTTCACAGTCCCTGTATGGGGTTCCTGACCTGTGGTAAGTAAAGAATGTCACTTTCTAAAGGTCCAGGAGCCCCAGGCTATCTTGAGGCCTCAAGAGGAGAGGAATTTATTCAACTCATAAGTATTTGAGGGCACAAACCCGTGGCAGGGCCTGGCTCTAAAGAAGTCTTATCTGAGATTCCTTCTATGGAACAGCGTTCCATCAAAGCCAATTTAAACAGAGCTTATGTGAAAAACAATTATTCTTACTGTACTTTATACAAATAATCAGGCCAAGTATAATGAAGCAGATCAGTCTTACCATGATTTGTCTTTAGTAAAAATGGAAAATGGGAAACTAGAGAAATTAGTTTCAAGAACTATGGCACACTTCTTAAATTCTAATTTCATCAGTTGTTTTTAAGTTTGTTTCTGCAATTTAGGCTAACCCTCCTTATTCCTGTGAACCAACCAGTGAACTCTGCCTGCTGCTCAGAAGAAACAAGAGGGATAGGTAATGTAAAAATCTAGATCAGTATTCTAATTCTGGGCACATTAGAATCAGCTAACAACCCCGTGTCAGCCTGGTTCCACCAACTGCTCAGTTCATGGAAAACCTTCTAATTCGGTTTACTTGTGATAGTTTTGCTTATTCTGTTTTATTGCTGTTCTGCCCTTTGTGTAGGAATGCAGGATAAGCTTACTGAATGTTTTCTTAAACAATAATCTTTCAGATATCACCTTTTGTCAGAACTCAAGTTATGAATGGCTCTCACCATTCCAAGGCTTTCTGGCTGAGCTCTTCTCTACCCTGAACAGAAGAGACCTTAATAGGCAAGGGTATCATTGACCCTATTCAGCCTAAAGAAGTTACAGAAGATGGTTCTTCATCCCTCTGCAACCCTTAGGATTAAAGGTTCTCTTATAAAAGGGATGGGGGAAATGTCAGAGGCCTGTGAACCAGAGCAACTCCATCTTGAAAAGGAGCTGGGTAAAATGAGGCTGAGACCTACTGGCCTGCATTCCCAGACACTTAAGGCATTAACAGGATGAGATGAGGTCAGCACAGGATACAGGTCGTAAAGACCTTGCTGATAAAATGGGTTGCAGTAAGGAAGTCAGCTAAAACCCACCAAACCCAAGATGGCCATGAGAGTGACCTCTGGTCGTCCTCACTACTACACTCCCACCAGCGCCATGACAGTTTACAAATGCCACGGCAACGTCAGGAAGTTACCCTATATGGTCTTAAAAGGGGAGGCATGAATCCACCCTTTGATTATTATATCACCGAGAAATAACCATAAAAATGGGCAACCAGCAGCCCTTGAGGCTGCTCTATGGAGTAGTCATTCTTTTATTCCTTCACTTTCTAAATAAACTTGCTTTCACTTTACGCTATGGATTCACCCTGAATTCTTTCTTGCATGAGATCCAAGAACCGTCTCTTGGGGTCTGGATGGGGACCCCTTTCCTGTAACACACCTATACCTAGAAGCTCGTTTTCAGACCTTTCTGGGCTGAACCAATGTGCACCTTCCATGCACTGATTGACGTCTCTGCCTCTAACTTCTGTCCCCCTAAAATGTATAAAATCAGGCTGTAACTCAGCAATCTTAGGCAGCTATTCTCAGGACCTCCCAGGGCTGTGTCACAGGTTCATAGTCTTCACATTTGGCTCAGAAAAAACCTCTTCAAATATTTCACAGAGCTTGGCTTTTTGTCAACACTGCCAGTAAAGTGTGCCAGCTCCCCAATTTGAGGAACGAGGACCTTTCCAACAGGTGGATATGAAAATGCAGACCACATGGTGACATCGTGGCCACAGGCATCGCAAAGCTCTCCTGCACGAGAACCCGTCTGGTCTCACATGGTGACATCGTGGCCAGGGATTGCAAAGCTCTCCAGCACGAGAACCTGTCATGTCTCACATGGTGACATAGTGGCATCGCAAAGCTCTCTGGCATGAGAACCCGTCGTGTCTCACATGGTGACATAGCTCTCCGGGCATGAGAACCCGCCGTGTCTCACATGGTGACATAGTGGCATCACAAAGCTCCCTGGTATGAGAACCCATTGTGGTCTGACATGGTGACATAGTGGTTGTGGCATCACAGCCTTCTTCTGCACGAATTCGCTGAGGCTCTGACATGGTGACATCGCGGGCCAGGTATCGCAAAGCTCTTCTTGCACGAACCTGGTCGGTTCTACATAGTGACACCGTGGTATCGCAAAGCTCTCTGGCATGAGAACCCGTCGTGTCTCACATGGTGACATCGTGGCCACAGGCATCGCAAAGCTCTCTGGCACGAGAACCCATCGTATCTCACATGGTGACACTGTGGCATCGCAAAGCTCTCTGGTACGAGAACCCGTCGTGTCTCACATGGTGACACCGTGGCCAGGTATCGCAAAGCTCTCCAGCATGAGAACCTGTTGTGTCTGACATGGTGACTTTGTGGCTACAAGCATCACAAAGCGCTCCTGCATGAGAACCCGTCGTGTCTGACACCAAAGTCAAACGTGTTTATTTCTGTAAACCTTGAACATACCCTTGACCTTGAACAACTTCTATGACCTGCTGGTGGAAAAACAGGTAGTTTCAGACCAAAGGCTGGACTAGACCACAAACCAAGGTCCCAAGTGATAAAAAAGACAAAACATGAAAACCCCTCCAGAGATGCCCAAAGCTCAGTTACTTGGGAGACAAGGACAGCTGGGGCCTGCTCCAGAGGGCGGTGAGGCAGGAGTGACTGTGACTCCAACTCAGGCTGGCCACCACCAAGAATCTGGCTGCGGGCACATCAGAGGACTTTGGAGCCTGTTCCTTCTCACTTAGAAAAGCTACAGGTCTAGGCAAAGGAGCTGTCCACACACACACACACACACACACACACACACACACACACACACAGTCAGGCGTCCTGTGAGGGGGACCCCTGGTGGAAATCTGCACGACCCTGGCTGACAGCCCACCCAGGCCCAACTGCTCTCTTGGGCTGGGGCCCCCAGGCAGTGGCGCTGGGGACCCCTAGGCCCGTGAGGCCTGTGGGCGGCAGCCTCAGTGGGGAATGAGGCCCTCCGACACTGGCAGGCACCACTGACGTGTTCTCTGGGTTTGTACTAGGAACCGCCCCATCGAAATCGCCAAGAGCCTGAGCACTCTCTCTCATTCCCATTCTCTCTGAAGGCAGGAAGAGTATCATAGACAAAACACACTTAAACCATGAAGAGTTTGTTTAAACCCAAGGAAGCTTCTAAACCAGAGCAAGATGAATTCAGGTGGGGGTTCTCCTGGGTTCAACTGATGACGGACACCAGCGTCTCAGCCTACCTATTGCGTCTGAGCCCTGTGCTGGGGCCCTCAGGCACCAGGGAGGTCCCATGGCTTCTGATCCCACTCGGCCACCTCCTGCTGTCTGCCTGCGGCAGTGTCCAGCCTGTTGGGGCCGGTCTCCTCTTCTGCAGACACAGCTAACGGCACAACTCACCCCACACGGTTGGCTGAGGGTCCCATAAGATGATGAATCCTGAGTGCTCAGCAAGGCGCTGGCAGGCGGTAGGTGCTCATCAAAGAAGCCACTAATTACCCCTCAGAAGCCCCTGGAGCCCCAAAGGGGTGGGATGTGGTGGTGGGGTGTCCTGCCCCTTTTCGAAACATGAAAATGAGCTTGAGAAGTGGTTTCCGGTACTGGAAATTCAGTTTTAAAAACCATTCTGGACCATGCCCTTCAGACGCTCAAAAGTTCTCTGGGCTACTCAGAAAAATAAGAACTGGTCCTGGTTGGTTCAGCACTGTACTGAGACACACTGGGTCACATCTGTTTGATGAACTGTGGTGACAAGAGCATGGCCACAGGGGTCAGGGGGCACCAGAGTGACCCGACTCCCTGCTACTGATGACAAAGCCCTTCTGTGCCCTGAGCTGATGAGAGGTTAAGAAGCAGGACCCAGACGCCAAGACGGCACTGCTCTGGGAACCTAACACTGGGTAGGGCAGCCAAGCCCACAGCCCTGCGGGGAGCAGGAGTGACCGGGGGAGGCGTGCACCGATGGCCCCGGTCTGCTGCAATCAGGCTGTGGCCAGCGCCACGGGGACAGGCCACATGTGTGCAAGGACCTGCTGGGCGGACTCTGCAGGAACAAACAGATCAAACATGTTACGAATAAAGCGATTTGTATATAACTGGTAGGGGGGCGGGGGTTGGAGACTGAATTGCCCACTCAAATCATTACTTTTTAAAAAAACATTTCCTCGACGGACATTTCCAGCTCCACAAAAGAAAGTAATCAAATAGATGTTCCTCCTTAAGTCTTAAACCATGACATTCAGATGATCTATGTGCAAATTAATAAGGTTGTAACATAATTTGATTAGGTGACAAAGCCGAGGGAGAGCTGACAAAGAACCAGACTGGCACCACTGACTTCTTAATGAAGTGGAGCTCTGTAAAAAATCTAGACAAATCACAGGTTGTCTGACCAGAAAACCCCTGACTATGGGCTGTCTACTTTAGAGTCAGGAGCTGAACCCTGAAACCTGAATGTGCGAAATTCTAATGATCAAAAAACCCACGGCGCGTCAGGCAGACATGATCACGTGCATTTCTTTTCCACGCTGCAAATCACCACAATCCCAGATTAGCCCAGCCGGCTGGGCGCCTCCCTCCCGTCCACCTGGGCGGTGAGGTCAATCAGCAGTTTAAGCGCAGAGGTGCGGGCTCAGAAGGCAGCAGCAATCTCCAGCGTGTTCTGGAATCAGAAGTTGAGGTCCACGTCTGATTAGTTCCCTTCGTTTCATTAGACTTGGCTGAATGTGTGCCGGCACCACTACAGCTTTGATTTCAGACTTCCTATGACAGGTTTGTTCACCGAAAACTCTGGCCACCAGGACGCCCGCTCCAACACCTTGCTTTCCTGCAGGACAGCGCCCCAGAGGTTTTTGTAGAGCTGCAAACAACACGTACACAGCAAGTGAAGACAAAGAAATAAGAAGGAAAAGATTCCTAGACAGGTGAGTGTGCAAATGCAGCTCCTCAAAGTTTTTGTTAAAAACACAGGAAATTCGGCTGGGCGCGGTGGCTCATGCCTGTAATCCCAGCATTTTGGGAGGCCGAGGTAGGCAGAACACCTGAGGTCAGGAGTTCGAGACCAGCCTGACCCACACGGAAAAACCCCATCTCTACTAAAAAAAAATTCAAAATTAGCCAGGCGTGGTGGCACATGCGTGTAATCCCAGCTACTCAGGAGGCTCAGGCAGGAGAATCACTTGAACCTGGGAGGCGGAGGTTTCGATGAGCCAAGATTGCACCATTGTACTCCAGCTTGGGCAAGAAGAGTGAAACTCCATTTCAAAACAAACAAACAAACAACAACAACAAAAAGGAAATTCTCTCACTTTTTAGAGAAATTTTAAAATGATTTAAATTTATATGAACTTTTTTTTTTAGTAGAAACCAATTAGGAAAATTCAATTATAAAGTACCATAAAACACATTTATAATGAAAATCACCCCCTCGCCCTCTTCTTTGGAAATTATTGGCTGGGTGAGGTGGCTCGTGCCTGTAATCCCAGCACTCTGGGAGGCTGAGGAAGGCAGATCACTTGAGCTCATGAGCTAGAGACCAGCCTGGGCAACATAGAGAAACCCCATCTTTTAAAAAAAAAAAAAAAAAGTGCAAAAAATTAACTGGACATGGAGGAGTTCACCTGTAGTCCCAGCTACTTGGGAGGCTGAGGTGGGAGGATTGCTTGAGCCCAGGAGGTTGAGGCTACAGTGGGCCGAGATCGTGCCACTGCACCCCAGCCTGGGTGACAGAGTGAGATCCTATCTCAAAAAAAAAAAGGAAATGATTGTGGGCAGTGGACACCCTGTTTCTTAGTAATTGCAGCCACCACAGGATTCTGCGAGGCTGCATCGACGGCCGCTCTGAAATCTGCTCTCACACCCCAGGCCGCTACAGGCCGCACAGGCGGCACATGGCCACCAGCAGCAGGACGCCCGGGACCTGGGCCACCACACCCTGCTCCTCTTGTCCTGCCCCAGGCCCGCACTCCCCTACGGGATGTGCAGACTTCATTGCTCTCAGCCTAAGCAGCCTCGCTGGGAAGATGGGGAGAGACGCTCCTGTCTCGGAGGAAGGCTGTACAAACAAAGGGCGAAGGGCGGCTAAGCAGACACTTCACCCGTGCAGGTGGGAAGGGGCAGCCCAGCCCATCTCCAGAGCCTGGGGAGGTGGTCTATTTTGCATCCAGCTTATGTTGACCCTTTTATTTACAAGAAACCCCTCTGCCTGTACCTGCTAAATGCACTTAGCAACCCCTCCTCCCCACTCTGCTACTCTGGGCTCCACAGACAGATCCAGGCTGCTGCTCCACAGGGCCTAGGTTCCAGCTTACGTTTCACAGTTTGGAGCAGCAGGCTTGGTTTAAGGATGGTCTCAACTCCCCTACGGCTCTGTTTGTTCCTTTATAGTGAACTTCTTACCCGGCAGCCCCTGGTTAATACACCAGTTCCTTGCAACTGGGAGAAATGTACTTACTTTTTTTTTCTCTGAGATGAGGTCTCTGTTGCCCAGGCTGGAGTGCAGTGGCACGATCACTGCTCACCACAGCCTCGACCTCCCCAAGCTCAGGGGATCCTCTCACCTCAGTTTTTGTAATTTTTATGGACAGGGTTTTGCTATGTTGCCTAGGCTGGTCTCAAACTCCTGCGCTCAAGGGATCCGCCGGCCTCAGCCTTCCAAAGAGCTAGGATTACAGCTATGAACCACCACGCTCAACCAGGAGTGCACGTTTTATAAACCATCCTGCCAGCAACACCTCCAGTCAGCTCTGGTTTTAACCGTGGAACCCAGAGCCAGAGGGGCCCTCCATCATGGGCACGGTCTCTCCTCTCCTCGATTGCTCCCTGCCTCTGCAGAGCCAGGCGCAGCAAATAGACACTCAAGGCTGCTCCTGTACGGGGCAGACAGTCCTGTGTGCTCGGGGGTCCTCCATGGCGGGTCTGGCTCCACTGTCTCTTCGAATGCCTGTCTACCTGGTGAGCCCCCTACCTCCTGGTGAGACTGCCTCTCCCAGGGAGGTGGGTAGGGCAAGTCCCCTTCCTACGTGCTCCCCCAGGATCCAAGGCTCCCCCCAAGTCTTCTCTCCCTACAGCAGGGCACAGTTTCTTCAAATCCTGGCTCCGCCACTCCCTGGCTGGGAAACCCACTGGGCTTCTCTGGATCTCAGTTCTCAGCAGCAGTGATCATCTGGGCTGTATGGGCTCAGGGGATGGTCAGTGGTCAGCCCCCCGATGCAGGACAGCAGGCCCTCCGCAGAGATGACCATCCCTGCCTCTCCTACTACTGGGAACTCTCACCTCCTGCCCTGCTCACCTGGCCCCTGGCACTACCTGCCTCTTGGCACACCTAGCCCAACCCAGGTGTAGCCTGGGCCATGCTGAGGCCAGGCACTGGGCCCTCCCTGGCTAAGCCAGTAAGGACTCATGCACGGACTTCAGCATTTACTGAGGACTGAGGAGCGGGGTCCTGCCCACTAAGGCTCAATCTCCATTTGAGCAGAGACCCAGGTGCTGGCAGATGCCTCAGCAGAAAGAACTCAGTCGTGGGGCCAGGGGGCAGGGATGGGGTTGACCCCTCTGTGGCTCACAGCCGGGGGACCTCAGGGCACGGGACGTGAGCACTGACATGCCGAGTCCCTCTAGCAGAAGATGGACACAGCCCTATAAGCAGTGGGGTGCTGCAGGGCACCCAGTGGACCTGTGAGCGTCGCCCCTCGAGGGCATCATCAGGTGGGAGGGAGACACAGGGTCAGTGATGAGGCCAGCAGGGGCCACACTGCAGTGCCTGGGACACTGCCTCAGCTGGATGCCAGAGAAGGCCTCTCCAAGGCAGCGACAGTCAGCTTACACCGAAAGAATGCGAGGCACTCCAGGCAGCCGGAGCAGCAGGCACAAGGCCCTGGGGTGGGCACGGGCCTGGCACGACAGATGGAGAGGCCAGTAGGGCTGGATCTGGTGGGCAGGAGGGGAGCGTGGGGTGAAGGACCCTGGAGGGATGCAGTGGCTGCCTGGGGCTGGGGCGTGGCAGCGTCAAGGAGGCTGGTGGAGGCTCCCTCGGGGGAGCAGCCTGACTCCATCTGCTTTGAAATCATTATGGAACATGGGGGGCTGGGGAGCCACAGGGAGGCAGCTGGGGGAAAGTGGGACAGGGGAGAGTAACGCCAGTCACAGCCATGGATGGTCAGAGGGGACAGAGGGGCCTGGGGAGTCCAGGACAGGGACGGGGGAGAGGCCTGCAGGGCCAGGAGCCTGCATGGTCAGATGGGGGTAAGACCTGGGACCGGGGAGGCCAGTGGGGAGTGGGAAGAGGGCAGAGGCCATAGTGTGTGGACCTCCAACCTCTGCCTGTGCAGGCAGACAGTGCCACCACCCCATCTCGAGAGGAAAAGGCAGGCAGGGGACGGGCAAATCCCCTGCAACCACAGAGCCAGCATGGCGAAACACCAGAATGAGGCTGTCCCGACTTGTCCTGGGCCCTCCCCACAGAAGCTCCCCCAAGTGTGACCACTTTCCAGAAGCCGCCGGACCCCCGACCCACAGGAGCATCTCAGCTCTGCAGAAATGCCCATCGGCCCTTGGGGCGCCCCGCGAGGCCCTGTCCTCCCTTTACCTCGCCGTCGGCTCTGCCAATTGGTGAGTCCAGAACAAAGTCAGGAGGAGCGATCACGTCTACCAGGGCAACTGCGTCGTCTTTCAGCTGTTGGAAAACAAAGCCCAGACACTTGGCACCGCCCGGGAATTTCCATGGTGACCAAAGGGTAACAGCCCTGTCCGTGTTTGCTAGGACCCACTAGCAACGGGTAACCTGAGCGGCACGTGCGGCTCTGCTGCCAATGCATGATCTCTTCACTGGCCTGGATTCGAGTCCCTTGCTGTGCGCTGGAATGTTTTCACCATGCTGCTTTCCACTCGGGACTTCCAGGGCTGGTTTCTTCCCAACAAGGTAGAAAAGGCCCTTAAAAGTGACGACCCTGCAGCTCGTGAATTAGCAGCTGCCTCCGGAGGCTCATTTCTAAGCCCTGACTTATGTGGGCAACTGCTGTTCCAGTAAAGGAAAATATGTCCAGAAAACATGTAATAGAGAAGGCATTTATGAGCACTTGGAAAAGCCGTAAGCATATGAAGCCTCCTCAGTTGGCAGTGGTTTTATTACTCTCCTATTCCACTGGACAAATTATTCTTCAGTATGACACATGAAATTTATATGAGTGGATTCTCAAGAACTTTCTTAAAATGCAAAAAAAAGACCGGGCGCGGTGGCTCAAGCTTGTAATCCTAGCACTTTAGGAGGCTGAGGCAGGCGGATCACGAGGTCAGGAGATCGAGACCATCCTGGCTAACACGGTGAAACCCTGTCTCTACTAAAAATTGCAAAAAATTAGCCGGGCGTGGTGGCGGGCGCTTGTAGTCCCAGCTACCGGGAGGCTGCGGCAGGAGAATGGCATGAACCCGGGAGGCGGAGCTTGCAGTGAACTGAGATCGTGTCACTGCATTCCAGCCTGGGGGACAGAGCAAGACTCCGTCTCAAAAAAAAAAAATTCTCCTTAAAATATTATGAAATGCCGTGGCTACACTGCATGGAACCCAGGAATGGGAGACACCGTTAATGATATGGATCAAAGGCAATCAGTCAGCACAGAGTAATAAAGGCCACAATGGAGGAACTGACTGCGCCTCCGCGCTTCAACGCGGTGCTCTGCAGGGTGTGGCCGCCTGGTCCTGGTCCACGTGCCTCGGCATGGAGGCCGCAGACAAACGCCCCTACTCCCAGAGAGAAGCTCTTGGCAGAGCACAGATGCTGAGCCCAACAAACATGTTCCGTAAGGGTCCAGGTAGGAGATGTGCCGTGGAAGCACAAAGACACCCGCGGACGACACTCAGGTGAACGGCAGGACTGGGCTGAGTTTGCTGGCCCTGGCCTAGCAGATGGCTGGCACCCTCTCCACCTGGCTGACCGTGGCCTCCCCGAGAGTGGTGTGGACGGGCACATGCGGAGTGGCACACAACGGTCAGCCAGCCTTGGCCATAGCCTCACTGGGAAATCAGTTGTGGCTTTTTTTCTATTTTTTTGAGACACGGTCTGGCTCTGTTGCCCAGGCTGGAGTGTGATGGTACAATTACGGCTCACTGCAGCCTCAAACACGTGGGCTCAAGCCACCCTACCTCAGCCTCTTGAGTAGCTGGGACTACAGGCATGTGCCACCAGGCCTGGCTAATTTTTTAAAATTATTTTTTGTAGGTCGGGCATGGTGGCTCATGCTGGTAATCCCAGCACTTTAGGAGGCCAAGGCGGGTGGGTCAAAAGGTCAGGAGATCGAGACCATCCTGGCTAACATGGTGAAACCCCGTCTCTACTAAAAATACAAAAAAATTAGCCGGGCGTGGTGGCAGGCGCCTGTAGTCCCAGCTGTTGGGGAGGCTGAGGCAGGAAAATGGCGTGAACTCAGCAGGTGGAACTTGCAGTGAGCCGAGATTGCGCCACTGCACTCCAGCCTAGGTGAGAGCGAGACTCCGTCTCAAAAAAAAAAAGAAAAAAAAATTATTTTTTGTAGAGATGAGGTGCCACTACGTTGCTCAGGCTGGTCTCGAACTCCTGGCCTCAAGTGATCCTCCTGCCTTGGCCTCCCAAAGTGCTGGGATGATAGGCACGAGTCACCACACCCAGGCACTTTTTATAAACAACACCTCCCCGCTATGCCTCCCTCTGCAAGGTTACCCCTGTGCTTTCCTTGGCTCACCTGCATACTCCGAAGGCCTCCACAGGGGTCAACACGGCCCCAAGCGGGTAAAATTTGGCTCTCAGAGGAGCCAAGGAAAACCTCTCCCTGTGGCCGGTTCGATGTTAAGAGGAATGAAAGTGGCCACAAATGTGTACCACAATTAGACACGCCCTTCTCCAGAACCGCAGGCTCAGGGAAGGGGTTTATACAGTGAATCCCAAGACGGGCTCACAGCCAGTCACAGGGACATTCCATTAGTCCCAGATCAAGTGTGAAAGCAGCGACAGGGGAGATGAAAGGCCACGTCTCCAGTCACCGGAGACACTGCGCTAAAATGCAGCAGTACGCGGTCCGGTTCCTACCAGCAAAAATGGAGTGACGTCTCCGTGGACACAGTGGTCCTGCCCGCCGCGGCAGCACCAGCACCAGCACCAGCACAAGTGGCTCCTCAAATTCAGTGCAATGAAAGGAAATCTGAGACCCTCACTCACACAGCCGCCTTCCCCCCACCCAGCATCTACCACGCTAAACAGCACAGCAAGGGGGCTTCTGTCCCTGGATGGAAGAGCTGCCAGATCAGAACGTGGGGTTGGGGCCCTCTGATTTCCTGGGTGACATAAGTAATAGAATATAGTAAACAAGGACACCGCCAGGAAACAAATTGGAGACTGAGTCCCCTAAACACTCGGAGAATTCTCAAAGTAGCTGCAAACGGTGTGTGAGAGGGCCTGGGTGTGTGCAGATCTGGAGACACCCCGACAGGTTACTTTTGCAGAAATTTCTGATGTGGGCATATTTTCTTGTAATCCTCCAGTTTTTACTAAACCCTGAACAAACATGAATGTTTGGGTTGCAAAGGCAGTGCGTGTCGGCTCTGGGTGATGCTAAGGGGGTGCGTTTCGGTCTGGGTGACGCTAAGGGGGTGTGTATCAGCTTTGGGTGACGCTAAGGGGGTGCATGTCGGTCTGGGTGACACTAAGGTGGTATGTGTCAGTCTGGGTGACGCTAAGGCAGTGCATGTCGGTCTGGGTGACACTAAATCAGCAGCTGCAAACGGTGTGTGAGAGGGCCTGGGTGTGTGTGCAGATCTGAGACACCCCACAGGTTACTTTTGCAGAAATTTCTGATGGGCATATTTTCTTGTAATCCTCCAGTTTTACTAAACCCTGAACAAACATGAATGTTTAAGGTAAAAGGCAGTGCGTGTCGGCTCTGGGTGATGCTAAGGGGTGCGCTGGTCTGGGTGACGCTAAGGGGGTGTGTATCAGCTTGGGTGACGCTAAGGTGCATGTCGGGTCTGGGTGACACTCAAGGTGGTGGCGGTGCCGGCTTGGGTGACGCTAAGGCAGTGTATGTCGTCTGGGTGACACTAAAGTGGTACGTGTTTGTCTGGGTGACACTAAGGTGGTGGTACGTGGTCGGTCTGGGCAGTGACACTGGCGTGGTACGGGTCGGTCTGGGTGACACTAAGGTGGCAATGTCGGTCTGGGTGACACCAAGGTGGCACGGTCGGTCTGGGTGACACTAAGGCGGTACGTGTCGGTCTGGGTGACACTAAGGCGGCACGGTCGTCTGGGTGACACTAAGGCGGCACGTGTCGGTCTGCGACGCCGGCAGTGCATGTCGGTTCGGGTGACACTAGCTTTGTAATGCGGTCGGTCTGGGTGACACTAAGGTGGTAATGCGTGTCAGTCTGGGTGACACTAAGGTGGTATCGGTCGGGTCTGGGTGACACTACGTGGTACGTGTCGGTCCGGGCATACCAGTGGTAATGGTCGGTCTGGGTGACGCTAAGGCAGTGCATGTCGGTCTGGGTGACACTAAGGTGGTGCGTGTCAGTCTCAGTGATGCTAAGGTGGTACAGGTCAGTCTGGGTGACACTAAGGTGGTAGGGGTCGGTCTGGGTGACACGAAGGCGGTGCGTGTTGGCTCTGGGTGATGCTAAGGCGGTGCGCGTCGGCTCCTCTGGGTGACACTAAGGCGGTGTGTGTCAGTCTGGGTGACGCTAAGGGGGTGCGTGTTGGTCTGGGTGATGCTAAGGGGGTGTGTATCGGCTCTGGGCGGTTGTGTAACATGGATGTAGAGAACACGGCAGCACCCACGGCTCACCTGGGAACACAGGGCCAGGACGGCGCTCTCCAACACTTCTCCTGCCTGCTCACCAGAGAAGTATCCGCCTGCAAGCATAGCCTCGGTCATGTGGGGGCTGGGTCCTCAGTCCAAAACCAACCCCAACACCAACATGGCCTGAGTGCACTTTCCGAATTGGCCACAGAGGAGGCCTGTTTTGGGCGAACACATCAGTGTCATTGCTGTCCCCAGCCCAGCTGTGACCCGAGGAACGTGCTGGCTCAGGGGCCGAGTTCTGACACCCTTTTCCCGCCCAGGCATTGATGGTCTTGGCCTGGGGCAACGAGGGAGGCAAGGTCCCCTCCCTGGCCTGGGGCTCAGGGAGGCTGGGTGGGTTCCTCCCTTGGGAGGAAGCAAGGAAGGGGCTCCCGGGCAGAGCGAAGCAGGGGTGCATGGCAGGGGGCGCAGGGGCGAGGGGGTACCTGGGACCACCCAGGGGAGTGGGGGGGGCGGTGGGCGCCTGCAGGGACTCAGAGGCTGCAGGGGAACTTGGCTCTTGGTGTCGCCTCCAGCCGCTGTGGTTTCTGGTGGGGCCCTAAGAGGTCCAAGGCCGCGGCCTCGTGCGTTCAGAGCGCATCTGTGGCGGGGTCTGCGTTTGCTGTGATTTTTGCTGGCGAGAACTGTGTCTTACCACTTAGGGTTTTTCTCAGGCAGCAGTGGGGCTCCTGCCCTGTGCCCGCCCTCTCTGGCAGACACTCGTGTCCCTTCCTTGGTGCACCTGAGCACTGTCAAGGCCTTCATAAGGTCAGCACCACCATCCAGGGGGTAAACGCTGGCTCTTGGGGTGGGGAGGATCTTATTCTTATTCTTCACAAGCCCAGAGACGCAGGACATGAATGGATACGCGGTATATCCTAGTACCAAAGATGCACGGGTGCCAGCCATTGGGAAGAACCACCTAAAAAGACTTCCTGGGGGCAACAACCAACAAAAGGTTGACAAACTTTGGTTTACCCCATTCCCACCAATCCTCCAGGAATCAGCCCCAGCACCCCGTCCTCCAGGAAGTCTTCCAGGGTTCCCAAGTCTAGACACTCATGGCTCGTGTCTCTCTGTGCCTTATGGGACCTAGGGGGTGGGCTTCTGCTCTCTGCAGAGCCCGGCAGGCTGCCTGGCACGAGGGGGCCTTCTGGAAGTGCTCTCTGAACCGAACCCCAAGTGAAAGGAAAATTGGGTCTCTTGGCACCACCCTGACGCTGTTCTGCCCCATATGCCTCTCATTACGGAAGTGGGCTCCTCATCTGTCCACAGCGCCCTCTGCCATGCTCAGTAAGTCCTGTGGAAGGAGGACAATGGCGCAGGAAGCAGCTTCCTAGATACAACAGCGGGGCCCTGACTCTGGGGAGGACAGCAAGCCCGCAGTCAGAAGCCTCACCTCGGTAGAGCAGGGCCGCGTGGCGGCTCAGGGACCACAGGGCGTACAGAGCACTGAGCCGCCCCAGCACGGCCCGCAGCGAGGGCGGCACGCAGGGCTGGTGCACGTGCTCGTGGAACCTCTGCACCACGGTGAGCTCCAGGAAGGCCAGCGCCAAGGGACGGCCGTGGGACACCTGGAACACAGGACGGCACCATAAGGACCATGAAAGTCCCAGCCCTGCCCAGATTCCCGGTGGAGGAAGTTCTCAGGAAACACGAACGCGGGTCTGCATTCCCGTGCAAGTCCTAGGACAGTAACATGAGGTGAGGCAGCACACAGATGCCGTGCAGCATAAGACGTTTCTAGAACACAATGGAAAAGGCCTATGTGAAGATGGAGCTGGGAGTGCTCTGGCTCCACCGACGCCCTCCAAGGCCTCAATCTCAGCTCAGCTCCCATCTGGGACTGGGAGAGGCATGGTCATTGCACACGGGGCCTGGGGCAGGCCTCGCGATGCTCTGCGGCTACAGCGTGGGCGCCCACCAGGAGGCCCCCGAGGACCCAGGACCTGGCTTCTTCCACAGGGGAAGACACGGAGGAGCTGGAAAAAGGGCTTGTCAAGCTCCTCCCTGAGCTCAGAATTGACTTCGCTTCTCCAAAGGAACAGCCACCCCCTCCTCCAAAGCCTCCAAAGCACGCTTCTCTCCTTTCTCTCCATGCTGTACGTCCCCCGCAGGCTCTGCTGCTCCCATCTTTATGTCCATGAGTGCCCAATGTTTAGCTCCCATTTATACGTGTGAACATGCAGCATTTGGTTTTCTGCTGCTGCGTTAGTTTGCTGAGGATAACGGCTTGTAGCTGCATCCATGTTGCTGCAAAAGCCATGACTGTTGGTAGTGATGGTTGCACGGTATCCCGTGGTGTCTATGTACCCCATTTTCTTTATCCAGTCCACCGCTGTGGGGCACCTGGGTTGATTCTACAGTTTTGCTATTGTGAATAGCGCTGCGATGGACGTACAGGTACATGTGTCCAGCTGGCAGGATGATTGCTTTTCTTTGGGGTATGTACCCAGTAATGGGATCGCTCGGTCGAGGGGAAGGGCAACTCTTAGCTCTGAGAAATCGCCAAGCTGCCCTCCACAGTGGCTGAACTAATCTGCGTTCCCACCAACCGTGTATCCATGTCACTTTTCTCCACAGCCTTACCAGCATCTGCTATATCAAAAACATTTGCTGATAATCATCAACTTCACTTATTAGCCTTTCTTTCCCTGTCTCCCATTTATCATCTCACCAGATATTTTAAATTAGGAAAACAATACACGCATTGCTTGACTTGTTAGGATGAGCAGGTGCCATTTTTAAAATTAAAAAAAATCCAGCCCAGCGATGAAATACAGGGTATGAGGGACCGACTGCTGCAGGAGGACCCGGCCGCGTGCCTGGCCTATGCTGCTGCCCCAAATCTTCCCAGAACACAGCAGGGCGAAGCACACGGCAGCAGGGTCTCCAGTCACAAAGCCAGTGTCCTCCAGGGCCCTGTTGGGATCAGGAGCCTCGAGAAAACAGAAACCGGGAGAAGCTGCTTTCCCGCCCTGCTTCGTGCCAGCCTGACTGGTACTGTCCCAAGACCCCCGCTGGGTCCTGCACACTCATGGGTGGGCCGTCCTGTTGGTGCCAGGAAGGCCTGTCCTGCTCCCTGCTGTCTGAGCATGGAGTGTGCCAGCCCAGGGCCTTGGGGCTTCCTGCCCTCTCCTGATCTCACACGTGCCATAGCTCTGGGCCTTGGTTTTGACGGGATCTGGACTTGCACTGGGGACGTGGGGACTGCACGACAGACCCCAGCTAGGATTAGCGCCCAGAATTTCCAGAGCCCTGCCAAGTGAGGTGGGGCAGCCCTCAGGCTCCCACCTGAGGCCTCTGGCAGGAGGCTGATAACACAGGCCTGTGGGGGAGCTGCCAGGTGTGGTGCTGCAGCTCCAGGCCTCAGCCCCTCCTCCTTTCACCTTCCATGAAACAAGTGGGTGACAGAACCTGCACCTCCGCAAGCTGCTCCTGTGTCCACGAGAACACGGCAATTCCATTGAATCCTGCCCACACCCCAAAACATACTCCCACACAAGGGCCTCTCCTCTCGCCATGGGTCCTCTGCGAACCCCAATCCCAGCCAATCCCAGCAGGGCCTGGGCACAGCGAGGCGGTCCTCAGAACCAAATCTGAGTCTGAGCCCTGTGCCCCGCACCACTCTCCCCGTCACCTGCAGTCGCCTCACCGCTTCAGTGTGTTTTTCCATGAAAGTGACACAGCGTGATACAGCGATGGCACAGGCCAGACAGGCCGTGGGGGCCAGAAAGACAGCCCCCTCTGGAACCTTGCTGCTGTCAAATAATGCATCCCGAGTGCCAGTGAGTTTTGAAACAGTCACTCGGCTCTGCAGCTGTGCAAGAGAGCAAAAGGCGTCATGGCTCCAAGCCTCAGTGTTGTCTCCCACGTGGAGCTGCTGGGGCCAGGGCAGCCCTCCCACAGGAAGCGCCTGCGATGGCAGCTCTATTGTGCTCAATGGCATCTCAGTCACCGGGATTTGCCTGCATGACACTGAGCTGTTGTTCCAGGAAAGGTCCACATAAGGCCAGCAGTCACCGGGGGGACACAGGCTCTGAGGATGGGCTCCCTAAACAGTGTCTGCTATGGCAACCAGCAGAGCTGACCACAGCATTAACCAAGGTGGGCTGGGGCCCAGGAAGCATCCCACGCGGTATGGACTCTGGAGACCCGGGGGGTCAATAATGTCTCAGGTGCAGTCCCTCCCCATGGCCAAAGTGTCCCCGTAGCTACGGTTAGGGCTGGCGCACTCCAGTCAAGAGAGCTCACGGCACCCACAGACACATCTGGGAGTCCCACTGCCCCCACCAGCTGTCCCCAGACAGGGCAGGGGCTGGACTGTGCTCTACGGGGATCTTCTGGACCACCTCAGCTGCCCCTCCAGAGCTGCCAAACTGTCCCCAGCTAGGACTGGGACAGGCACTTCTCAGGCTCCATGCAGCTATGGTCAGCTGTCCCTTTACAGCAGTAAACCCGAACACCCAGGAAATCTTCAGCACAGAGAGAGGGGAGGGTCCCAGTCTGGTACACTCTGATTTCTGAAGTACATTTTAAGAGGCAATGGATACTTCAGGCAAAAAAACAAACCCCAAATGGTCCAAATTCAGACAGCAGCCACGCAGCCTGGGGAAAGGGCTGGGCTCTATGACAGCTGGCCCGGGTGCAATCCTGGCCCCGGCACAGGCGAGCTGGGGGACCTTGGGCATTTCTCTTGGCCTCAACTTCCTTCACTCCCAAAGTAGACAACATGAAACGACCCAGGTACAGAATCCAGCATGTGGATCAGGGAGAACAAATGTCCTTGTCCTTGTCCACCTTCTGATGTGCAAATCCCTGAAGGGAACCTGGAGCCCTTGTGACAGGGGTTGATCCCAGGGTGGAAGCAGACTGCGGGGACGCCACCACCCACCTTTTTAGTCCCAGGCTGGAGGCAGGCTGTGGGGACACCACCACCCACCTTTTTAGTCCCAGGCTGGAGGCAGGCTGCGGGGACGCCACCACCCATCTTCTATATCTACTGGCTGTTGAACACGTGAAGGTGTCACTCAGCCGAAAAATGAGAGAAATGCATTGTTAAAGACCTTTCTGCGCATGCCTGGCTTACGGTGAGTAAATGGTAGACAGCGGTTGTTGGCAAGAGCCAGAAAATGTTTAAAAGTTAATCAATTTTCCCCACCAGGTCAAAGAGTAAGCACACTTTTAACAAAAATGGCCAGTAACCTTCTCAAAGGACACAGCCGTCACCCTCTCCACGAACGGCGCTGCTGCCCGAGCCCAGCCTGATGCGTGCGGAAGGATGGGTTTGACCTGCAGCTCCTGGCCCTGGCTCCAGGTCAGCGGCTGCTAGGGCTGGTTTCCGACCAGGCAGGCATCTATGTGAAGGAATTCCTTCCTTCCTGGGGGTGTTCTCTGTCAGCGACATGCCACGTGGGCTTCCCCAGTCTGCTGTGTGGCTTCTGATTTTGTTCGGAGCATCTTTTGCAAAGCAGAAATGCTGAACCTTTATGCAGCCAAATCCGATGGTTTTATTTTTTAACAGCTTCCGGCTCCCATCTTCCTGAAAAGGCTGGTCCAGGCTGAGGCTTTCTTTTCATGCCGTATTGCAGGGGAAGGGGCTGCATCTCCCATGGGCCCCTTAGCATCCAGCCCAGGCCCAAGGGCTCTCAGCTGTCACAAATGTCCCCTGCTCTCGAAAGCTCCACAACCCAGAGCAGGTCTGGAGCACGAAGCCCCACCCTGGCAACTGCTTTCCCTCCAAGGCCTTGTGGCTGGTGTCTGTGGGTGTCTGTCAGCTCCACAGCTTGGCCCAGGGTCACCGTCTCAGCCAGACTCAGAACCCAGGACCCCTCCTGGCCTCTGCCACAGGACTCCCTGAAATTCTGTTACCAAGTTCTCGAAGGAAAAGCTGAAGGTGAGTGGTTTCCCAGCAGCTGAGCCACGCACTTGGGGTGTCGTGGGGTCACACATGCTGCGTCCCCAGCATAGGCCGGGGCTGGAAGGGGGTGCTAAGGACCTACCAGGCAGTTCTAAGAGACACAGGTGTTGCTAGGAATGGGGTCCTTTTGTGCCCTCCGTCTCTGGGGGTCTTGTTTCATAACTCATTGGAGAATCTCCATTCCATTAAAAAAATTCTTTTTCTCTTTTCTGAGACAGGGTCTTGCTCTGTTGCCCGCGCTGGAGTGCAGTGATGTGGTCGTGGCCCACTGCAGCCTCAACCTCCTGGGCTCAAGTGATCTTCCTGCCTCAGCCTGCCTAATGTGCTGGCATTACAGACACGAGCCAGTGCAGCAGCCTATTCCACCTTAACACAAAGATGCGGCCTGCAGAGGAGGGAGCGGTGGAAGCTGACAGGCATCCATTGGTTTCTGAATGACCTAACCTGCCGTGTTATCAGCCAGGGTGGGTACAGAAGGCAGCCTGTTCTGGAAGGGTCAATTCAAGCCTCCTATTTTTGGTCACCATGGGCCTAAACTACAAGTTTTACTGACCCTGGCCACCTGCTGACTTCTTTTCAGCTATAAATTCAATCTGGGTTTCTTTTTTTCTTTTTTTTTTTTTTGAGATGGAATCTTGCTCTGTCGCCCAGGCTGGAGTGTAGTGGTGCGATCTCGGCTCACTGCAACCTCTGCCTCCCAGGTTCAAGCAGTTCTCCTGCCTTAGCCTCCCAAGTAGCTGGGACTACAGGCGCCTTCCATCATGCCTGGCTATTTTTTGTATTCTTAGTAGACACCAGGTTTCACTGTATTAGCCAGGATGGTCTTGATCTCCTGACCTTGTGACCCACCTGTCTTGGCCTCCAAAAATGCTGGGATTACAGGCATGAGCCACTGTGCCTGGTCCAATCCAGGTCTCTTTGAGCTCGGCAGGAGCCCATCCTTCCCGCCTTCTCTCCTCATCCCAGGGCAGGTGTGTGCAGTAGGTTCTAGAGGTGCTGGCCTGAGGGGCGGGGCTGCCCCCCAGCAGCAGGCTGCGGGGTGCCAGGCCTTCCCAGAGACAGGCAGACGTGGACCTAGGTCCCCACAGCGGCTTCATTATTGAAGCTGACCCATAACCTCATGAACTGACACTAGGGAGAAGGGGTGACAGCAGCTCTCTCCGTATCCATGGCCTCCCTGCACGACACTCATGGCCTGAGTCTCCCCATAGCTATGGTTAGGGCTGGCGCACTGCAGCCAAGAGTGTTCACGGCACCTACAGACACATCCAGGAGCCCCACTGCCCCCAACAGCTGCCCCCTAGACAGGGGAGGGGCTGGGCTCTGCTCTAGGGCAGACAGCCGGGACAGGGCTGGAATCACACGGAACCAGGTTCCTGGCATGACAAGGCGTTTTATAACAGGCTGTTTTTTCCCTGTGGCTTCCCAGAACACAAAAGACAGCCCTGTCCAGGTGTGAGAACCAAAGCACTTTCCAAGGCCAATGACGACCCACTCACCATTGCCACCCCAGCCCCTCGGGAAGGCAAGAGCAACTTGTGGAAAACCAAGCAGGGCGCTGGCGTCACTCCCATGAGTCAGGAGGGAGCACTCTGAGTGTCCGCAGTGGTGTCCCTGCCCGTCTGTGCATCCAAGGCTCTCACAACCCAGCACTTCACTGCTCCGGTTTATGGGCTGGGAACCGTAAGGCATGGTAAATGTAACATCCATGACCTCCCCAGCCCAGCAAGACAGGTGCTGCCATCCCTGTGTTACAGAGGAGTTGAGCAAGCAGCAAAGTCATCAAGTCATCTGCCCAGGGTCACGGGAGCCTGGGGTCTGGAGCCTGAACTGCCAGGGACACAACGGCCGGGGAATTAAGATCAAATAATACAAAAGGGAATTTTGAAAACAAATACCTACCTGGCAATTATTCCTTGCTTCAAAGTCACTGCTTCCTGATCTTTTCTCTTGGTTTAATTTTTGATAAGTCTCTCGGAGCAGGTAGCAAACCAGCCACTTGTATGCTGCCAGGGCGACTTCGGAACAAGAAACAGAAGGAGAAAAAGTAACAATAGAGAACGCAGCGTTTGTCACAACTCACCCCCAGGGAGAAGGCACTGCCAGCATCCTGCAGGTACGGTGTCATCTTCGTGACGAGCAGGCCTATGGGGTGGGTCTGATTTTATAGGTAGGGAAACTGAGGCACAGGGACAGCATCTGCCCAGGGCCCCTCTGGCTGGAGGCACTTCCTGGCTCAGGTTGGGGCTGTCCTGAGTTCTACACTGTTCCAGCAGCCTGGAGGCCACAGGGGCACGGTGCCACCACTAGAGCAGACCCTCGAGCCGCACGTTCTCACACACACCAGGCTCGGTCTGTGTGAAGCATGGTGCTGTCCCTGCAGCATCAGCCAGGACTGCATGGGCAGCAGGACAACTGCCCGGCGGTGGTGCCCAGTGGCGAGAGGAAGGGGTGCTTCTGTTCACCTCCCCCTGCCTGGCCCTTGGACCTCACTGCCTGCTGGAGCTGTGGAACTAGGGACTGACACGGTGGGGGAGGGGGTACCTGAGGCCTCGTACCCTGGGGGGCCCCCTCCCACAAGGTTCAAAAGGGCAGGAGGGAGCAGATGCAGCAGACAGGGAGGCCCCAAGGTGGGATGTCAGGCAGGACAGCTGAAGCCCCCTCTTCATCCTCCCCTTCCCCGGGCAGTGGTGCCCACATCTGCAGGGCCTCCTACAGCATGGCCAGAGCTGGCCTCCCATAGTACTCCCTATGGACCAGTCATGGTCCTGAGACCCCACCAGGCTGTACTGCTACCACCCCCCTGATGAGGACATGGGCCCTTCAGAACAAGAAACAGGCACATGGCGAGCATGTAGGGGAGGGGTGCGGACCAGCCACACATGGAGGCCACGCTCACACCCACTCCCTGCCCAGGCACAGAGGGCCTGGTGCCCGGACACGAGGCGCCTCCAGGCTGCAGGGGGCCTTCTGCCTGGCAGCTGGTCTTGCTCAGAGATCCCAGGCAGGAGAATGGGGTCAGTCACGCTGAGTCTGAGCCCAAAGGCTGAACTCAGGGGGCCTTAGGATTTCCTTCTATGTCACACAGCCCAGGTCACTGGGAAGAAAACACCCAACGTTGCAGTTCCTGCCACAGCACACCCGACTGCTTTCGGCTGTTACATCCATTCACCCTCACAGCATAACTGAGAAGCCCGTCACAAGGCAGAGCAGGCCGTTCCCCAGGCTCAGACATTAGGGGCTTGCCGGAGGTCTCAGCTCCCTAGAGGGAAGGAAAGGCAGGTGCTGCTGACCCCGCAGGCGGGGCGCAGGCAGGGTTGGGCAGAGGTTTCCTCCATACAGGCATCTTCAGGGAGCCAAGGCTCCCCTTGCCAAGTCCTGCCAGGCATGAGGTGTTGAATGGTGGCCCCAACTGACTCCCACAGCTGTGAATGTGACCTTTGTCGGGAAGAGGGTCTTTGCAGATGTCATGAAGTTGAGGTATTGAGGGAGGTCATCAGGGACTCCCGGACTAGGGTGGACTCTAAATCTAATGACACGTGTCCCTACAAGACGCAGAGACAGCAAAGTCACAGAGGAGGCAAAGGCCAGCATGATGCAGCCACAGCCAAGGACTCCTGGAGCTGCCAGGAGCCTGGGCAGGAGGAGCCCTCCCCCGCAGAGGGAGCGGGGCAGCCCTGCCCCATCCTGCCTTGGGGTTTCCACCTCTGCACTGAAAGAGTCACTGTCTGCTATCTTTGGTGCCCAGGCCGTGGCCCTCTGCTGCTGGCAGGCTGCCCAGGGCTCATCCTTGAGCCTTACATACTACCCTTCAGGACATTACAGGAATATTCAGGTCCATTTTGCAACCAATGCTGAGGGGAGGCCCTCATGACCACCGCCTGTTCCTAAAGGCTCTGCCACATCCCAAGCTCTCCCCAGCAGGGCAGATGGTCACGAACAGCAAGGAAAGGTGGACGCTGTGCAGTTGTGCTTTCCATGACTTATTTACACAGCAACAAAACCAAGGAAACGGTCCGGCCAGAAACCGCTTGTGCAAATTCCTTCTGACCACACCAGAGGCCCCCGTGTCCCACCACGCATCAGCCGTAGCTCGGCTTCCCTCCCAGCCTGTCCTGGCCGTTCCCAAACACTGCCCCAGGAGGTGTCCCTCTGTGGTGGACACTTCACGGCAGTTACCCGAGTTTTCCAATCTATCTCTGCAACCAGAATTAACCCATGAGGCTTCCCGTCGACGGCCAGTTAGACTGTGCTGTGGGCTGCAAGTGAGACGAACGCTTGAGAAATGAGTTATGTTTGCACCGTGTTTTTCCTTACACTCTGCTTTTGGTTCTTGGTTTTTCATTAAAAAATAAAGCATGTCAGTCTGATGTGTTCACATGCAGGGGAGAAGATCCCCCAAAAAGCAGATGAAAGCAAACGAAAGGTGGGTGCCATGTGTGTCATTTCCAGAGTTAATCTGGAAGTGAAACAGTATCGCTGAAACAAAGTACGTGGAAAACGGGCACTGACGGGCAGCGAATTCTCTTGCTTGGAATACGGCTGCTGGCGGCCCGAGGACATACCCAGCGTCAACAACCTCTGTCCTCAAGACTCTCCCAGAATCCTGGGTCACCACAGCCTTTCCATGTGCCACACACCAGATGGACTCTCGAAGGTGCCCCCAGCTGCCCTGTGCACCCAATGACTGCCCCTCGACCTACCCCCCTCCCCAGCTGGGACTCTGTCCTTGACCCCATGGAGAGCTCTTCGCATGCACTGCCTGCCTTTCGGGTCTCAGCTTCCTCTCCTGTCTCTGAGTCCAGTCCCCGCTGTGTCAGCATCAGAGCACTCCTAACTCGGATTCGGACCCAGGCAAGCCCTGGAAAGCAAGGCCTGGATGGCGGCCCCGACTCCTCAGTCAGATCACGGGCCTGGGTCTGACCATGCCCACCGCTCTGGTGCTCCTGAACGGCCGGTGCTTCCCAAAAGCACAACCCACAGACCCTCCAAGACACCCTCAGGTGCCGGCTTTGTGGGAAACATTCCTTGACCCACCAAGGCAGACCTCACCTGCACCTGTGTCTATTGTTTCCAATGAAGTGTTCAGGACAGTGGCCCCCCACACACAGCAGCCCCCTACTGAGGGCACCATGGCCTGGCACCTGCCAGGCAGCACGAGGTGACCGCATTCCCTCTCCACTGTCTTGCAGAAGGAAAACAGGCTCAGAGAGATTAAAGCCTAGCTCAAGAGTCACAGCGGGGGGCAGTGCTGACCCAAGAGCCTGTGCTCCCATCCTCTGGGAATGCCGTCTGCACCATGAACCCCACTGCTCACCTCACATGACCTCACCCTGCACTCCACGTGACCTCACCGCTCACCCCACGTGACTCCACCACTCACACATGGCCCCATGTCACCTCTGGCCCACATTCTGTGACCTTGCAGTCCACACATACACACGTGTCTGGGTAGTGAACACTGCAACTGCTTACTACGAATGCACACCAGCCAGCCAAAGGAGAACAGGGCCCGTCGCAGGGAGCAACAGCACAGGCCCCAAGGCACAGGGCTGTGACACTCAGCCCAGCACACGTGCCTGTGCAAAAATCAGAGGAACTCAACAGAAAACCCGGCCTTCCCTACCCAAGTCAGAATAGGAACCCCTGAAAGACCAGCCATGGGCTTGGCAAATCCTCCACCCTTCCTCACAGGCAAGCGCAATCCTGGAAGAGGCCTGTGTCTCTTCAATCCTGCAGAGCCTGAGGGCCCCACATCACTTACACAGCTTTTACCAAAGATCCACATGACTAAGGCTGCAGTCAGCCCTGAGCCCTGGGTTCTGTGACCAAATGCCCTTGAGACGATGGGGCTGGCAGAACCCACAAGCTTCCCTGCGGCATGAGGGATAATGGTGATCTCGCTCCCACACCACTTTCCACAAGAGAAAGTCATTTGCCTTTGTTACTCTGGAAAATGTTTTCACTTTGTTGCATCTTGTAAACATTAGGGCAGTTGCAGGAAAAGTAGATGACTTTGGTGTCTCTCCCAGTGATAGAGAGACTATAAAATTACTTTTGCTTTCAGTCTCAGCGGAAGGGGAGGGAAGAGGAGAGGGTGATGGGCACATGGAGAAGCTGGCTGCGCCATCTATGTTTTGATTTTATTAATATAGGGAGTGATGGTTTTAGGAAAAAGGTTTTGGTTGGGTTGAAGTTACTACAATGATTAGGTCATTTTCTAGTTCTTCCTGTGGCAACATTTGGGAAGCTTGGAAACTGACTTGCGGCCGGGTGCGGTGGCTCACGCCTGTAATCCCAGCACTTTAGGAGGCCGAGGGGGGCTGATGACGAGACCTCAAGATATTGAGACCATCCTGCCTAACAGGGTGAAACCCTATCTCTACTAAAAAATACAAAAAATTAGCTGGGCGTGGTGGCGGGCGCCTGTAGTCCCAGCTACTCGGGAGGCTCAGGCAGGAGAATGGTGTGAACCCGGGAGGTGGAGCTTGCAGTGAGCCGAGATGGCGCCACTGCACTCCAGCCTGGGCGACAGAGAGAGACTCCGTCCAAAAAACAAACAAAAAAAAGTGAGTGGCAAACATCAGAAATAGGTCATCAAACATGTCCCCATTTCCTACCGGCACCCAAACAGGCAGGCTGAGGTCTGCACGGTTAGTTACCGTCAGAAGCTGTAACCCAGCGCAGGGCCCACGGGAAAGCAAGCACTGACGCGGCACTTCCTGATGACGATGCTGACGGTGCAGGCAGCGGAAGGCGCCGGGAAGCCGGCCCGACCCAGGCTCCACACTGGCTTCGGCCATGGCTGTGTGTTCTTTGCCGTGTGAACAAGTAGCCCACAGGGCTGGAGACGGACAAAGGCACACGATCGGGGGCTGCGATCACATCCACGGCGTCGGTCCTGAAGGCCGGAACGCGTCCTCCACGTGCGCCTGTCCCCTGCATGGGGGAGGCCTGCGCTCCCTCCTCCCGAGGATCCAGGGGCCTCCCAGAACCCCTGGGGACCCTCACATTCTGGTCTCCTGAATGCAAAGCCAAGAGCGTCCTCCATCTCCAAATCCCTGCTCTATCCGCCCAGCTGAGTGTGCCGCACCTTGAGAGCGGTTCCTGCCCAAACTCTGTGGCTGCTGAGCTGAGCACTGATTTGGCGCCAAGTGCTGCACTAAGTGCTTTAGGCGCTGAACTCAGTCCACCTTACGAAAACCTTATGAAGGGGATACCATTACCATCCCTGTGCTGCGGAACAGGGACCGAGATGAGGAAACCGAGGCAGGAAGGCTGAGGAACTTGCTGTAGGTTCCACGGCCGGCAGGAGGAGGGACCGGGATCAACCTCCAGCAGCCTGGCGGGAGCTGATGTCTCGCTCTGGAGGGTGGGCCTGCTCTTCCAGTCTCGGGTGTCACGGAGGGGTTAGTTTCTACCTGGCCCACCGGGGACAGCGCATTGGGACCCCTCTCGGCCCTTCTCTTCTGCACAAATAGGTGCTTTGGCGGCAAAGACAAGACGTTCACTAAATACCGCTGAGTGAGGCGATGGGGAGATGGAGGCGTCGCTGCGGCTTCGTGCTGTTCTCTGTGATATGCGGCTTGACAGATGGGGGCTGTGGTGGGAGGAAGGCATTTCACAGGGACACAGGTGGCATGGAGGTGGGGGTAGCTCCAGCCCTGCTCTTTCTGTCAAATCTCACCCAGACCACTGGGCAAGAAGCATCCAGGAGCAGTAACAAGAGATTCAGAGCTTTGCAGTCCCACAGGCTTGGGTTTGAATCCTTGCTCTGTCCCTGCCTGCACCCAGGCAGCCGGAGCCGAGGGAGCCTTTAGGAGTGCCCTGTAGGACACGCAGAGCTCCGCCGGGTGCTTCTGTGTAGGGGCGCAGGGCAGCCCCTTTCACCTGTCCCAACCGCCTCTCACTTCCGTTTCCACAGAGCAACCAGAGTGGCCTTTTTCCATGAGGAACATTTTTAAAAATATGAATCATCAAAACAAGTAGCACACCCCATTCCACCAGGCCTCTGGCGCTCACCTCCCGTCATTCACAGCAGGGGAACAAGATGCACGCTCGCATCGAGATGAGCTCCGCACGGGCTGGGCCCTGTTGCCGCCTCCTCCTCCTGAGACACCTGTCCATCGGGCATACCCATGGCTGCCCCTGCCTTTCACTGAGACCTCAATTCAAAGGCCAAGACCCTTCCAAGGTGGTCACCAGCCATGCTCCACCTCACCAGCCAGGATCACTACTTTGCAGAATTCCCGCTGCCCTAAGACTGAGGCCTTGGGATGTTTTTGTGTCTGCTGGTCTAGACTGCAAAGTCCCACGAGGGCAGGCACGGGGTCTCGGTCATGCCGGCCGCTGGCCCGAACTGCAGAGTAAGCGCGTAACAAGCACGTGCTGAATTAACCAGGGAACGCGAGAGCAGTTGCTCTCCAGAGACGGATCCCCTGTCAGGATGCAGTGCAGTCTACAGGGAAGCTGCTTTGCTTTCCATGCTGCCAGCACAGCCGGACGCCCCATTCCCAGCTCTCATTTCCACCTTTCTGAGCAGACCCTGCGTGGGTGAGGTGGAGCCTGCAGCAGGTCCCATGACATACCTGCAGGAGGATGTCCACGACCAGCTCTGTGCAGGCCCCTGGGAGGAGGCCCCACCCCAACCACCACACCCACAGGAGATGAGCCTGTGCTACAGGGGCCGAGGGAAGGAAGCGTGTGAGATGTGCCAGGGAGGGAAGGGGTATCTGCTGTTTGGGGAGCCAGGAGGGGCTGGGGGTGGGGAAGACTGACAGGTGAGGTGACTGGGAGGGCCCAGGGACAGCAGCAGCCCAGGCACCACGGCAGGGGGCAGAGGCTGCTCAGTGGACAGAGACCAGGCCAGGTGGCCCCTCACGCCCTTTATCCTACGGGAGGGGAAGGCAAGAGGCAAGGCATAGGGTGGTGAGTGGGCGTCCTTCAATTCATCTGTGGAGTCAGTGTCTAACTTGGCATCGGGTGCAAAGAGATATTCCACGAGCCAGCCCAGGACAAGCTGCATGCAGGGCCTCCCACCACCACTGCTGCCCCAGCTGGAACTGCCAAGGGCCCCCTCACCAAGGCACGGTGCGTTTCCTGGTGGGAATAACGGGAAATCAGGAGGCCAGGGGAGCCCTCCACCTGCATGTTTACCTGCGGAGTCCAAGCAGTCGGCAACACTGGAGACCTCAAACTTCTGGTCAAGGATGCTGGGATAGGCGTCCAGAAAGTCCACCGACTTCAGCGGACTGCGGAAGCAAGCTCCATCTAGGACACACATTCCAGTGACTTTGGTGGAAGACGGGAACCCAAGCCACTGGGGACCCCAAGCCGGGGGCACCCCAAAGCATGGAGAGTGTCCAGAGGACCCGACGGCCACAGACCCATGAGCCAGGGTCTGGATCTCAAGGACCCTCCCTATCCCAGCCTTTCTGCATGCCTTGGGGAGTCGGTCGGCACTATCTGATAACCTTTCTTCTGCAAATCTAGGGTGCGTTCACAGAAGCTGAATCAGTGGGGCCAGGAGGACCCACCCCGCCAGGTTGGGTTCCAGGGCCCCCATCAGTATGCAGCGGAGCCTCACCCTGGACCCGGTGTGCCAGGAGGCCCAGCAAATAGTTGCTTGTCTGCTGCAGCAGGACGTTGTTGTCACCTTCGTATGTGCAGTTGGGATCGTTGTCATCTCTAAGGACACCCAACCGGTTCACTGCAATAAAGCCACAATAGTACCATCATTTAAGATGCATATTTGTGAAACAGCCAGTCACTATGTGAGAATTTAAAACACCCTAAGAGGCTGGGCGCAGTGGCTCACACCTGTAATGCAGCACTTTGGGGGGCCAAGGTGGGTGGATCACCTGAAGCCAGGTGTTCAAGACCAGCCTGGCCAACATGGTAAAACCCACCTGTACTAAAAATACAAAAATAGCCGGGTGTGGTGGGTGTGTGCCCGTAGTCTCAGCTAGTCAGGAGGCCGAGGCAGGAGAATCGCTTGAGCCTGGGAGACGGAGGTTGCCCTGAGCTGAGATTGCGCAACTGCACTCCAGCATGGGCGACAGAGCAAGACCCTGTCTCAGGAAAAAAAAAAAAAAAAAAAAAAAAGCCATGAGTTTGAGACAAGCCTGGGCAACATAGTAAGACCCTATCTCTACAAAAAATGAAAAAAAAAATTAGCTGGGCATGGTGGCAAGCACCTGTAGTCCCAGCTACCCAGGAGGCTGAGGTGGGAGGATTGCCTAAGAACCCAGGCATCTGAGGCTGAAGTGAGCCATGGTCATGCCACTGTACTCCAGCCTGGGGGACAGGGCAAGACTGTCCCCCCCACCCAGCAAAAAAAAGCCCTAAACCCAGCTTGACCAGACACAAAGAACTGCTTCACGTCCCAGCTCCAGCTCCTCCTCACTGCTGTCAGCAAGCCCTGCATGGTCATCCCGCAGAGCCTCCCCCGGCATGGGGTCGCTGACAGGAGGGAACCATCTCAGCAAGCTGACGCCCCCAGGCCTGCCCTTCTTCCTTCCGTAACTGAATGAACTCTCCTTTCAACACAGGAAATATCAAGGCAACTTGTCTTTTGTCTTTCCTATCAATTAGCTGGATGCCTTCACACAGGTTATAAGGCTTGCTTTCCAGACCCTCACGCACTCGAGCCTGTCTTGCTCTGATGGAAAGTGTTCTCTGAATGTGAGGCTGGGATGGGCCCAGCAGGAAGGGAGCGGAGCCGACTTCTCACACTCACATACTATGACTGATGGATCCTGAGAGCATGAAAGGAGTCCTACTGCAGCCATGCTGCCAGCAGGCTTGTGATTAGGCTTGTGAACACCTGGAACACCTGATCATTTTCTCCTGACTTGCTGTCAAATCTTACCACATGCCTCCTGTCATGTAACAGGTTGGCCACTGAACAAGAGCTGGGAGAGTCCCCAGCAGAAACATTTGCAATTGATTTTCTAAACCTAGATGGCGCTTCGGTTGTGTTGGTCTCAATCCCAGCATATGTGTATATATATATGTGTATATATATGTATATGTATATGATGAATCTTGATTCCATTGTCTTTATTGTCTGCAGTACTGCAAGATTCAATTTCCTTATTCAACTACTTATAGAATCCCGATGAGTTACGACGACAAATAAAAACTACTAAGGGCATTGCACAGAGGACAAAGCATGCAAATGAGTAACTTATGTACAGCCATGGCTACCCACATGGCAGTAGGCGACAAAGGCAGAGTGTGGTGGGAGTGAGAGGCCACATTGCTGCTGGCCCATGCTGGAACAGGTGCGAGTTAGAACTGCAGTGGTGGGCGGATGATTGCTGAAAGTGTGTGTGTAGTTCTAGACAGAGCATCGCCAAAACTCTCACAAACTTGGCAAGGGCCTAAAGTGCTCCTGGAGGGCAAGAGAGTTTTGCGGATGCTGTGGCTGTTTTGAGTGTGTACATGGCCTTCTTTGAGCAATCAGTTTTTGCCAGTTAATTATTTAAGATTAGCACACAGGAAGTTATGCAGGTAAGCTGTAAATAATGCTGATGATAATTCTAATAGTGACAGCATTAGCAAATAAAAAAGTCAGTGGGCACGCACTACAAGCCAGATACCAAGCTTACACTTCATACGTGTTAATTCACTTAATTCTGGCAAGAACCTATGTTGTGGGTACACTATTATCACCCCCCACTGTAAAAATAAAAAAACTGAGCACAGTGAGGTTAAGCAAACTGCTCACAGTTACCAGGCTGTTAAGACGGAGCCAGGATTCAATCCCAGGCAAGCTGGTGGCCCCTGTTCTTAACCACACAACAGCTGCCTCGGTTATCGTCAATGCTGATATAACTTACTCTTTTTCTAAGTGTAAGAATTTTCTATCCAAATAAAACATAGTGCTAGTTTATTACCAAGCTGTTAACCAAACAGTTAAAATTCAAATGAGCAGATCAGCTGCTCTCTGCCTGTATTTTGGCCAAAGCATCAGGCATCTGAAAGCAGTGGGATCTATCTAGGGCAGGGGTTGGCAAACTTGTTCTGCAATGGACCAGAGAGTAAATATGTTCAGCTCTGCAAGCCACATGGTCTCTGTCACAGCTGGGATTACTCAACTCTGCCCTTGCAGTGTGAAAACAGCTGCAGGAAATGTGCAAATGAACGGGGGTGGCTGGCTGTGTTCCAATAAAACTTTATTTGCAAAAACAGGTGGCAGGCTGGATTTGGTCTTCAGGCCACAGTCTGCCGACCCCTGGTCTAGAGTCAAACAGCAGGGTTAAGGACAGGAAACCACCATGCGCTTCTCCAAAACCTACTGGCTAGATAGCCGTGTCCTCCACACGCCTCCCGGCATTCCTGAATTCCTTGCTGGGCAGTCCACGAGGCCAGGGGCTTGCCGGCTGATGCCAGAGCGTGGATCTCTCGTCCAAGCTCTGCCTTTGGGTGAGGGAATCCAACAAGAACAGGTGAAAAGAGACTTTTGACACCAAAAAGTCAGATATCAGCAATAACATCAAACCACCATATCACCTCTAGTCTAATACAAGACATCCTGAAAATGACAGAATAGGAAACCTAATTGTAATTAGAAATAAAAAAGGGTCTTTATCCAAGTATGGGTACACTGTGGTACGCTCATACCATTTCACAACAATGAAAACACCGCTCCACACAGCAAATAGCTTTCGGGGCCCTGACGTGGCTCCCAGAAGCAAACTGCAGAAGAATGTACGTCATGGCCCAGTTTATATAAAGTTCACAAATGTCAAAGTGAATGACATGCCATGGAAGGTTGCAACTGTTTGCAGTGAAACCATGAAGAAAGGCCAGAGAATCAGACCCAACACCACAGACAGTGCTCCCTCCCAGGACAGGGAAGGGACAGGACTAGTCCATTCCAGAAGGCTGCAAGCGCCTCGGTAACTGACGGTCTGCTCTGCGTGGGTGCTCACTGTGCCTCCCTCGGGCCTAACATGTTTTATTGTGACTCCTTTGCTGTCCATGGCCACACTACCCTGAATGAGCCTGATCTTGGAAGCGAAGCAGGGTTGGGCCTGGTTAGTACTTGGATGGGAGACTGCCTAGGACCAGCAGGTAATGCAGCCTTTTCTTTTAAGGGAAAAAAAAGAAGAATAAGACTCCTTTGCTTCTGCTTGATATCTAATGATGAAAACTTAAGAGACTGGGCGAGGCACAGTGGCTCACGCCTGTAATCCCAGCACTTTGGGAGGCCAAGGTAGACAGATCACTTGAGCCCAGGAGTTTGAGAACAGCCTGGGCAACACTGGCGACACCCTGTCTCTACTGAAAAATACAAAAAATTAGCCAGGTGTGCTGGCGGGCACCTGTAGTCCCAGCTACTCTGGGAGGCTGAGGCAAGAGAATCGCTCGAACCCAAGAGGTGGAGGTTGCAGTGAGCCAAGATCGCACCACTGCACTCCAGCCTGGGCAACAGAGCGAGACTCCGTCTCAAAAACAAACAAAAAAACAAACAAAAAACTTAAGAGACTGATTCAAGGTAAAAGAAGAATTTTTACTTTTAAAAAAGAAATAAATTTAAAAAGAAAAACAATTAAGAGGAAGACACACACACACACACACACACACACACACACAAACGTTAAGTCCAATGACCCATTTCATGAGTGTTTTCAACTTCACATAAGGGGCTGAGTCGAGGCCCTCCTCTGCCTGGGTTAAACCGCTGAGTTTCAGCAACAATGAGCCCGGTCACCCTTTACAACATTATTCACAGGAGAGTGTCAGAGCTGGCAAAAGCTCCACTGACTCACGCTCCCAGGAAAACACAGGCTTAACCCCTTCAGTGGTCAGAAGCGCTCCCTCCTCAGGCCTCCCGGGCCTGGGATTTGCTCTGCCATCAGTCCTGCAGGTCATCCCTTTGCCATCACCTGCCGTGAATGCGGACACCAGTAATATTTCAAGATATGCTAATTAGATGCAGGCTTTTTCTGATGTTGTACCTAACTGCAATCTGCGGCATTTCTCCTCTGCTTTCAAACATGGCTATTTCTTTCGATTCACATTTCACTCTTGCTCAGGAGGCAGCAGGAGGGACAACGGAAAATCAGTTCATAACCATCTACAAAGAAATCCGTTCTCGACGTCTCTTTATGCCGAGGCTGATCTCGGGATTTGCACGCTTGTTTCTGGCACAAATCCTCTGACTGTCAACTCAAATCCAGTCAGTGGGATTCAGACCTTTGTGCAGCTGTTTACAAAAGGCTCAGAACCATGAAAGCCACTGAGGGGCGGGTAATGTGGATTTTGCAAAACCGTCATGTTCTCAAAAGAAGACCAACAGCTGAACTCACAGACTGGAACCAAGAGTCGTGTCAGCACATCCTTGAGAGGCAGGAGTGTGGACGTGTGCCCAGCCTGTTCAATTGCAGCAGAGGCCAAGAGCTCCGAGTGGGTGGGAACAACTGGAGGAATGCGTCCTAGGCTCTGTCCTTGCAAATCAAATGACTGATTTTGCTTTGAAATGAAGGCTGAATCTGTGCTGCTCCAACCGTGTGAGATTCAGACGATGCTGCTGAGGAAGCAGACACCACCTCACCTGTCTGGCGCTGCGGTCTCCCGAGGCAAGTCCTCGCTGGAGCTCCACCAGGTCCAGGAAGAGTGACTTGGAGAAGTGGTCTAAGGCGTAGGCAGCTGCCAGATATGGAAGCAAGCGGAATTGCTAGAACAGACAAGACACCTGTGTGAACACACCACGGTTCCCATGAAGGGCAGCCCATCCTAGGGACCGTGAAAGCCAGTGCAGGGAGAGGCCGTCAGGGCCGTGCACCCACTAGTGCTGAAGGTCTCCACGTGTCTTCCCGGCACATCAGAAAACCTTCGCCCTGACACGCTTTCAACTCAGCCAATTTGGCTTTCCCCCATGGCCCCTGACGGACAACCCCAAACGCAATTCCCTAAACAGCCACTATTCACAGCTGTCCCATCAAAGTCACTACAGAACAAAGTGCCAGTCCATCTGTGAACTCAGAAGGCCACGCTGCCAGGGGCCAACTCCCCGGCACATGGACTGACTGGCTGACAGCACGTGCCTCATGAGCCTGTGAGGACGAAGCCATCACCCTGGGACAGACGGGAAAGCTCAGGCCCACAGAGCTGGCAGCCCCTCGAAAGGCAGAGTGCACGTCTTTTTCACTTTGTCTGAAACAGGATAGGGTCCACCTATTGTTGGATGGGTGGGTGGTGGCTGGGTGGATGGATGGATGCATGGATGGTGGGTGGTGGGTAGGTAGATGCATGGGTGGGTGGATGGATGAATCCGTGGATGGGTAGATGGATGGGTGGGTGGAATGTGTGGACAGGTGGGTGGATGCATGGATGGGTGGGTGGGTGGGTGGCTGGGGACATGGCAGGACAAGCCTGAGAGGATCCTGAGGAAACCGCCATCACCAACACAGTGTAACGTGTCAAGAGTGCTGAGCTGACATGGCACCAGCTGCCTCCATGCCCTAACTTTTTAAAATCCTCACACTGATCCTAGGAAGAAGTTTTATCATCAGTTCTAATTTACAAATGATAAAATGAGAGCATAGCAATGCTAAAGACCTTGCCTGAGGGCACAAAGCCAGTTGGGGGTGGGCCTTGGTGGTGAGGTCAAGCATGGTGGCCCCAGTGCGCTCTCTTGACTGCTGAGCTGCCCTTGGCACCCAGAGTGCTGTGACCACACACGGGAGGGGATGGGAGCCACACAGGCATGAACAAGAACACTTACTAAACAGGCTCATAGCTCTGGTCAAAGGATGTGGGAAAAAAACAACTGCAATTCTGTTACAATTTCCTTGAAGTTTCACCCAAATCTACCTTTGTTCATGCATAGCTTGGTCCGGGACCTGGGCCTGAGTTAGCCTATGCACTTTAACTGGATTTCCTATTTGATCCTCAGTTCCTCCACCGGTAAAATGGGAGTAATCCCAACCCTCCTAGCTGTGAAGATCAAACCCATGGCACAGGGCTCATGCCCTGCCAGCACCACAGGAACGTTCACTGCGAAAATTCATCCCCCTTCCGTGTAACAACATCTGTGCTTTTCCACGCTGCTGCCTGGGCTGCGTGTGTGCACGTCCACAGCTGCCCCATCTCTGAGGACGTGTAGGGCCCACGTTCTGTGCCCACGCCACTGTTCTAAATGCCATCGCAGTGAACAGGGCTGTACGCTCAGCTGCTGCTTCTTCCAGATCACCTGCCAGGCATCATTTCTTAGGGATGGGATCAAAGTGTCAAAGAGCATGTACAGGGCATGCAAGGCCACTGCCTGCCAAGCTGTGGCGACCTCACCTGAACATGCGGCTGTGCACACATCCACCTCCCAGAGCCGCCCCATACTTGCTTCCTTCTGGCCGGGTGCGGTGACTCACACCCGGAATCCCAGCACTTTGGGAGGCCGAAGCAGGTGCATCACCTGAGGTCAGGAGTTTGAGATCAGCCTGGCCAAAATGGCGGAACCCTGTCTCTACTAAAAATACAAAAATTAGCCGGGCATGGTGGTGCATGCCGTAATTCTAGCTACTCGGGAGGCTGAGACACGAGAATCACTTGAACCTGGGAGGCAGAGGTTGCAGTGAGCCAAGATCATGCCCACCGCACTCCAGCCTTGGTGACAGAGCAAGACTCCATCTGAAAAAAAAAAAAAAAAGACTTGCTTCTTTCCATCTTCCTTATTTTGGCTACTTCACATATACTCTTTTTAAATTAAAAACTATTTACTGGAAGCCTTGTGGCCTGAGATGCTGCACTCCCGCTAACTAATCATCCTGTTAATTGCCTTAAGAGCTTTGATCAACTCCCAGTAACCAAACTGCAACTATGTAAAAGAAGTGAATTTGCACATAAAATAGACAATGAAAGGATGCTTGAAAACCCTGTACCTGCATTGGATACTCAAGCACTGCTATTTCCTCCTCCTCGGTGGGTCCAAACTGACGTCGAGTGGCTGAGAAGCGAAGAGCGATGGCCATGGCCAGCTTTAGGTTAACGACGGCCAGGCTCAGGATGGAGACCCGGCCCGAGGACAGGCCCCCCAGGGACACTCCGAAGCGCTGCCTGACGTCCTGCGGAAGGAGTGCAGATGATGAGCGCAAGCCCTGCTGCGCGGCCACCTTGGACAGAATGGCCTAGAGGCAAAGGTGCCCTCGTTTGTTCATGCAGAGTAGACCGGTGCCCACCTGCCCATGTCTCCTCCCCAGGGCGCCCCGGGCACAGGACGGTGCGGCAGTGGGTACAGGTGCCACTGATGAACCGTGGATGGAATGGGGGCACCGGGGAGGGGACACCCAGCTGCCTGGAGAAGGGACAGTCCTTGCAGAGGGAACGGTATGACAGCACTGGGTAACAGTGCTCCCACTTTGGGGATTTGCAAACCATCTGCCTGGAGATTCCAAGGCCCACCTTTAACCTTGGCAAGAATCAGATGTGGCCTGTACTGCCAGAGGGCAGGGGCAGAGTCCATTAAAGGCAGCCATTCCAGGGGGTTTCACGGACACCTCTCCTTCCTTGTGTGCCTATGAACAGGCAGTTCCTTTCCATACATCTAGCTGGAATCTTCCATCCACTACCTCCTCACACGCATCACCAGCGTCAGCAGCGGCTGTTGCTAAGGCCTGTCCAGGCTGTTGTAGGCACATCTAATCTACAGCCCTTGCCACATGATCTGACCGTCCTTCCTGCCCTGCCCCTTGCTGCCCCTATCAGGCCTGCTCCTCTGACCATCTAGGTCCTTCTTCCAAGGCAGCATGGTAATTGTGTGTCTGAGCGTATTCATCACACTCTCACATAGGAATCACAATCTCATTGTGTTTAAAAACATATTTAAGCCGGGCGCAGTGGCTCATGCCTGTAATCCCAACACTTTGGGAGGCTGAGGTAGGCCGATCACCTGAGGTCAGGAGTTCAAGACCAGCCTGGCCAACATGGTGAACCCCGTCTCTACTGAAAATACGTAAATTAGTCAGGCATGGAGGCGGGTGCCTATAGTCCCAGCTACTCGGGAGGCTGACGCAGGAGAATCACTTGAACCTGGGAGGCAGAGGAGAGGTTGCAGTGAGCTGAGATTGTGCTGCTGCACTCCAGCCTGTGTGACAGAGCAAGACTCCATCTCAAAAAATATATATACATATATATTTAAAGTGATTTTCCTTTAAGGGTATAAAATATGATTTCACTGTCTTCATGCATTCACTGTCATGTTTGAGAAATCTGAAGTTCAAGTGTTTTTTATTCCACTGGAGTCAGATCTGGAAGATTCTATAATTTTCTCTTAGGAATTCCTCAATTTCTCTACCGTGTGCCTGGGTACGTGCATAAATACTTTCTTACTTTTCCTCTTTGGTCCTCCATGAGTCCCTTCAACCAAAGGCCTTCTTCTCCTCTCTCATTTAGAGACATTTCTCTCCTTTTATTTCTCTAAACTTCATTTCTTTCTTTCTTTTTTGAGATAGGGTCTCGCTCTGTTGCCCAGGCTGGGGTGCAGTGGTGCAATCATGGCTCACTGCTGCCTGACCTCCTGGGCTCAAGTTATCCTACCACCTCAGCCTCTCAAGTAGCAGACTACAGGCATGTGCTACCACGCCCAGCTAATTTTTGCATTTTTAGTAGAGATGGGGTTTTGCCATACTGCCCAGGCTGGTCTGGAACACCTGGGCTCAAGCGATCTGCCCACCTTGGCCTTCCAAAGTCCTAGGGTTATGGACATAAGCCACTGCACCCAGTCTTCATTTTCTTTAATCCTCTCCTTCTGCCTTCTAGAGGACAAGTTTCCAATCCCTAATTCATCCTCCTGAGATAGTCATCCCATCTGCTGTGCTTGTTCTTCCAGTCACTTTATTTTTAATTGATGTTGGATCTCCGTTTGTGAGCGGCCCCTGGTCTCGTGTTGCTGTTCCCATTCTGGGCACCCTGTGTGTCTCTGGCCATCCCCATCACGCTCCTTCTCCATCGTGCTTCCTGCATGTCAGATGCTGCATGCTGCTGGGAACTGGTATTCCAAGGGTGTGTGCTCGGGGGGGGCCCACCTGCTGTGAGCTCATGATTCCTGAGGGCCATCAGCTACGACCTGGGCCATCGCCCCCCGAGACCATGATCTCTCTTCTGCTCTCCATGAACTTAAGCCAGGCATGAGTTCTGGACACCAGGGAACTCTGTTTGTCGTCCCCCTTTGTGGACAGTTTGCCAGGAGACCCGTCTCCTTTGAATATTCAGGAAAGCATCACTGGAAGTGGGCAGTCCTCTAACTGCAGCCCTCGAAGGGGAGTGGGCATTGTCAGACCCAGACTCACCCCCTGTACACCAGCACCTGGTGCTGTGGCTGTCCCGAGTCCCCTTCTAGTGGGAGCACCAGAACCCAAACCAGGAGAAGTATGCCCCAGCGACACCTGGCCCACTTGGAGGGAGAAGCACAGAGCCAGGCCCTGCAGAAGAAGGCACTGGGAAGTGCGGCACACAAACGGACCCCATGCCTGTACCTTAAAGGGGCTGACATAGGTGCCCTCGGGGGTGACGTCTCCCATCCGGTTCAGGAGGCTCTGGCGAGGAACTCTGACCTTGTGGAACATGGCGAAACTGTGCGGGGAAGCAGCAGGGCTTCTGTTAAAAGGGGGTCCTGCCCTGAGGCTCTTCTCTTCTCCCCCAACGGCAGCCAAGAAGGTGATGCAATCCCCGAAGACAAAGAAAATGGCAGAAGGCACGCCAGTAGACAGGAACATTCAACCAAGTTTCTATTCAAAAAAGTAGTCTAGGCAGGAACAGTGGCTCACACCCAGAATCCCAACTCTTTGGAAGACCGAGACAGGAGGATTGTTTGAGCCTAGGAGTTCGAGACCAGCCTGGGCAACACAGTGAGACCCTGTTTCTAAAAAAAAAAAAAAAAAAAAAAAAAAAAATGTAGGTTAAATAATAGGCTGGGTGCGGTGGCTCACGCCTGTAATCCCAGCACTTTGGGAGGCTGAGGCAGGAGGATAACCTCAGGTCAGGAGTTTGAAACCAGCCTGACCAATATGATGAAATCCCGTCTCTACTAAAAAAATTAGCTGGGAGTGGTGGCATGTGCCTGTAGTCCCAGCTACTTAGGAGGCTGAGACAGGAGAATTGTTTGAACCCGGGCAGCGGAGGTTGCAGTGAGCCAAGATCGCGCCACTGCACTCCAGCCTTGGTGACAGAGCAAGACTCCATCTCAAAAATAATAGTAGTAGTAATAATAATAATAATAATAACAACAACAAAAGCATTGTGTGTATGGTAAGTTGTACTCTAGGTACAGAACTCCAGGTATTCAACAGAAAAGACAGGAACTATGTTTCTAAAGATTGAAATCTCTGATTCTCATACTTCAATCTCAAACCAGAATCCACAATGTGATAATATTGGCAAACTGAGGTTTAAAACTCTTAAGTCAAACAAAATAAGTGTTGTGATGGCATCGGTGCTCCCTCGGCAAGCAAACTCACTTCTTTTGAACAGATGAGCACAGGATTACACACACATTGTTATGGCTCATGATGTGTTAATAACCAAAGATATCTGTTATGGTCGTCTGGTCAGGAAAACCTATTCCACAACAGTCTAGGGAATAAGGCTATGCTAGGTTATGAATATTACATAAACTGTGCAAAAACCCCCCAAAACAAACTTCAAAATATCAATAGTTCCTATAGCAACTTATCTGATTCCTAAGATCACATGCAATGCCTTAGGGCAGCAATCCTCAACCTTTTTGGCACCAGGGACCGGCTTTATGGAAGACAATTTTTCCACGAATGAGGGGGAGGTGGGGGTGGTTTCGGGATGATTCAAGCACATTATATTTATTGTGCACTTTATTTCTATTACTATCACATTGTAACACATAATGAAATAATTATATGATTTGCCATAATGCAGAATCAGTGGGAGCCTGAGCTTGTTTTTCTGCAACTAGATGGTCCCATCTGGGGGTGATGGGAGACAGTGACAGATCATCAGGCATTAGATTCTCATAAAGAGCAGCACTCGCCCTAGATTCCTCACATGCACAGTTCACAGTAGGATTCACGCTCCTATAAGAATCTAATGCTGCCACCGCTCTGACAGGAGGAGGAGCTCAGGTGCTCGTGCGAGCAATGGGGAGTGGCTCTAAACACAGAGGAAGCTTCACTGGCTCACTGGATGCTCACCTCCTGCTGGGTGACCTAGTTCCTACCAGGCCACAGACCAGTACTGCGGGCTTGGGGACCCCTGCCTTACACAATAGTCTTTTACTAACCCATGGAAAACACCGTCTACAAAGAACAATCGCACACGCTGGGAGGGAAACGGAGGCACCCCTGTTTCCTGCATGAGCTCTTCCTTTAGTCCTGCTCTGGATGCCCCCATACCCCCGTCGCCACCTGGTCCCAGGCTGTCAGCTCTGCCGGCCTGGCCCAATTTGCTTCCTGCCCTCCATTCCTACCTAGGACCCAGCGCCTCCATCCCTACTCAGCTCCCCTGAGCAGATTTCCTGCAACAACCATATTGGCTCTTCCCTAACTCCACCTCTTCAGCCCGTCCTCCCTGTGGGAGCAGAGCCCTTTCCCAAAGGCCTTCGGAATGGCAGTGGCCAATGTGGAGAGTCCGTCCAAAGCCGACCTCCGTCTGCCCCTCTAACAGCAACGACGCCTTGCCGTGAGGTGGTCCCGCCTGCCTGTGGTGCCCCATCCACCAGGCTCTCTCCTGGCCTCGTGCCCTCCCTGCAGTCACTGTTGACACCAGGCAGCCCTCGGCCCACCCGGGAATTCTGTGCCCCACCCTGGGAAGGGTATGAGGCGGACCCCAGGGTGGGGTCCCTCGACCGTCACCTTTCCTGGTTCCTGGGTGAGCTAGCTGCCTCTCAGCAGTCTCCCGGGGCTCACCCCCTTCTATGAGGGGGCCACCGTGCATGGGGCCTCCCAGACTTAAGGGACGGGCACATAAGTGGCATGGTATGAACAAGTCAGGTGGGGTCAGATGACATCCTCTGAGGCATAAGGGCCAGGCCAGGATCCCGACTCCTGGGACAGCCTGAGGGAGAGACACAGCAGTTTCCACGCTCCCAGAAGGAGCAAGGCCCTGGGGCCGGGTGGGGATGGGGCTGGAGCTCCTCAGGGAAACCTGGGCGACCTGGTGAGGGAAGGGCTCTCAGCCGCTTTGCTGGGCACCTGCCCACCTGCAGGAAGCGAATGGCAGTGGGGGGGGCCAGCTCCTCCAAAGCCCTAGGCCCGACTGCCCAGCTGGGTGGCAGCTTCCCCCATGCCACAGCCATACACTCAGAACACCCCACCTCGTGAGAAAAACCTTGCCTCGGTGCCAAGGGCCCCAGCGTGCTCCAGCCCGTTACTTGAAAGCCACGGAAAGCCTTTTCCAGTACGATCTGGTCCCAGTCAGCGCGCTTTTCAAGGAGTGGAAATTCTCCGCCCATTCTCACCACACGGAATATATTTATACTTGCAAAAACATTCCCGGGAGTTTCAAGGACAGCAAACTTCCGCGAAGTCTCATGGGATCCCTTCTGTTCCACAAAAGTTCTTCCAGCGGCGGTCAGATGTGGTCAACTCAAACACAAGCCAGATCCCCGGCGGGTGATGTGTGCGTATGTCACAGGTGTGTGTGCGCACAGCACAGGAGGTGTGTGTGTGTGTCACTGGACATGCATATGGCACAAGAGGCCTGAGTGTGGCGCAGAAACCCTCACCCCAACCCCCAGGAGCGCCCAGGCCTCAGCACTCACCCCGCACCCTGGGCCTCCTGCTTCATATCACAGCAGCTTCCTTCCTCCCTTGGGGCCTCGAAGGGCCCCCCAGCCCAGCCCAGTCGGCCAGAGCAGGCCATTGAGTTTGGCGGGCCTCCTCCCAGCCACCGCCTCAGTTCAGGGCAAACGCAAGGAGAGAGACCCTTAAGTGCAGCCCACCTTAAGAGTCTGGCTGAAACTATCACTTGAAAACATCTTTATGGTTTTGCTTTTAGAGCTATTTGGCTAAAATTAATCCACACAATTTACATTTACCTCGGATTTGTAGGCAGTCATCCCACATACCCAGGAGTTCTTGTAAAGTGACAAAATCTAACCTATAAATTGTAACCACTTTTTTCAAGATAAATGATTTCAACATTGGCAACAAAAATCACTAAATGATAACGCTGATCTTGGAAAAGATGGACATCCAGGCAGAATTCAGCGGGGAAACCTGGAGGGAACACCGGTATCACTGCGCCCCCTGCTGGGCGCACTGCCCACACCCGCCAGCCCTGGACGGGAAGGTGCATTTCTGGAAAGGGGCAGAGAGCAGGTCTCCGGCATCACCCCTGCTGGCTCCCATCCCAGCCCGACCTCGGCCTTCAAAGGCTCAGGGATCAAAGACAGGCGCATCCCACTGCATCCCTGTCACCCTGCAGAAAGCCACGGTGGAAAGGCTCTGGAGGCATGGGGACCTGGCTTGGTAGAGCAGCTCCCAAGCAGTATCAAAGGGTTGTCGTCATTGTGTCCACGACGATCCTATAGCAGACCATATTTCTGAGTCTTACAAGAGCCTTTACCGTATCAGTGTGATGTATTAATCATTAATGGTTTGATCTAATGCTCCTTTGACTATTATCCCAGTAAGAGGTGTGGATTCAATCTCTAGAAATACATTTATTAGGGGGGAACCAAGTGCAGGGTTTCTCTGCAATGTCCCAAAATAATGTCAAAGCCTCTCATTCATGAAACTGAAAGAGCAGTGAAGAGCCTTGCTCACACCCCAGGCCACCCACTGGATGTGACAATTCACCACCGCCATACGCCCGGGAGGAGACGCCTGCTGGGCCTCACGTGTACACATAGGACACTTCAGTAGATGGGGTAACAGTGCCTGTGGCTGCAGAGACCTGAACGGGATCAGCCAGGTCTAATGAAAGGATGCAGGTTCTCCAGAACAACACAGAGCCTCCCACACCCCATTTCCTGCACGGCGCTTCAGAGCTTCTCACCCCGAGGCCAGAGCCATCCTTCTCAAACAGACCAAACCGTATCACGTTCTCCCGATGGCTGGGGGCTTCCCGCTGCCCTGAGGGCGAAGGGCCTGAAGAGCGACCCTCCACACCCGCCACGCGGGCACTGTCCCTGCCAAGCGCCTCCCAGGCACCCTGAGAAAGTAGTCATGCAAGAGAACTGGCAGCCGCAGGTCGGGGTAACGCTCTCCTCCCTGCCAACTCCAACATGAACGAGCAGGTTCCTTGTGTTAACGTTAGTATAGGCCAGTGAGATCCCAGAATTCCGCAGGACAGGTGGAGTTGGGAGGGCTGTGCATCTGTGTCTTGTTTCGCTTTTTTTTTTTTTTTGGCCTGAAATCACAAGAATTTGCTTTTTAACAATGTCCTTTTACTTTCTTCTCAAGTTGACACTGTATACAAATCAAGATTTTCCTCTTTAGTACAGTCTGGGGTCCTGCCTGTTTCAAAGGACTAGCAGAGATTTAAAACACTCCCTGCCTGTCACCCTGACTTCTTAGAAGAGACAGGCAGAAGGCAGTTTTTCCACGGCTGGGCAGGTGCCCACTGGCCCATCTTCTCCCTCTGGAGACACCCTGGTCACAACAACCAGTTATTTCCAGCAGCTCCTGCAAGGCAGCCTCCTCTCCCCTCCACCAGCCTTGCTATGAAGCCGCGTATCTAGAAACACTCTTGAGACATCTTGCAGGCCATCAGGCTCAGGCATGGTCACACCTTGTCCCACTACCCCCAAGCTATAAATCATCTCGTGGGCACAGAGGGGTCTGCACCCTGCTGGGTCAGGCTCTCAGGGAGATGGCGTGTGGAGTCCAGCATTCCCAGTGAGGGAGGCACCAACCGGGCCAGGGCCAGGAAGTTCAAGCCCGGCCTGCTCAGGCAGGACCTGGCAGGGCCCTGGCACAGGGACCTCTGTTGTTACCTACTTTACGGATGAGGAAACACCAAGAAAGCTGGTCAAGGTGACACAAAGGGCTGGCTGCACACCTATCTCATTCCAAAGGTCATGCTGCTGACGACCCGGAGCCCCAAAATCCGATCCCTCAAAGACCCTCAAGGCCCTTGTGGCCTGGCCTCCCTACCCTGCCCCCATCCCAGCACCCGCCTGGGCCTGACACTTCCCACTGCTCCCTCCACCTGAAACGCTACACATTCCAAAATCACTGGCCGCTTCTCCCGGCCACCCAGGCCTCCAGGTGGCCATCAAGCATTCATTAGTCTTTCCAGGCCCCTCCCCAAGCCAGGGTCTGCACGCCCATCCAACCCTTCAGCCAGGCCTTGGCCACACCAACCCAGTGTCACATCTGTGCTGCTAAATGGATATCTGTGGGCTGATGAAACAAATAAACTGGTGGAATTTTCTTTCTAACCACTGTGACACTGAGATTACCCGGAAAGGAGCAAGCCCACTCCGGAGGCAGAAACTGCAAATATGGGTCCCTCGAGATCAGCATGGATGTGTGTGGAGGCCGACCCGGGGGAGGCTCAGGATGCCGGGGAGGACCTCACACAGAGGCGGCGGCCCCCCAGCCAGGGGCCCCACCAGCTGCACGCAGACGCCTGGGTCTGATCTGAGAGTGAGGAGCCGCCTGCCAAGGTGAAGCTAGTTTGCTGAGGTCTCTGCTCAAGCTGGCCTCCCAAAGTGGAGTTCAAGCAGGACACGGCCAGTGCACACACAGGGGCTAGGGGTAGGTCCCCACAGCGTTTCAGTCTAAGAGGGCAGGGCACAGCACCCATGGGGCCGGTGAGATCTCAGACATGAGCGACACGCAGCCTGGGCCTCGGCAGGAAGCTCAGGGCTCAACAGCCTCCGTCACTCACCCGTTATCCAGACCGTTCTGCCCGAGTTTCTTCCCCATGTCGCCGACCATCACTCCAGGCATGGGAAGAAGGGTCTTCGGGTCCCGGATCTATACAAAGCCACAGAAAGCAGCAAACAGCAACTGTTACAATCACACAAAAATCAAAACAAATGTGTTCAGAAACCTACAGGGTGGGCCATGGGCTCAACGCTGGCGGCTGTGGGTTAAACCATCCTCCAGAAATGATACATCCAAGTCCTAACCCAGGACCCGGGAATGGGAGCTTATTTGGAAATAGAGTCCTGCAGATATAATGAATTTAAGAGCATCAAGATGAGGTCAACCCGAATCACCCAGGCAGGCCCTAAATCCCACAGCAAATGTCCTGTGAGAGTCAGAAGAGGAGTGGGCGTGGGGAAGAGGGGGCCATGTGGAGACGGAGGCAGAGTGCAGCGCTGGGGCCACAGGCCTGGGGCCACCAACAGCTGGAAGAGATAGGAAGGATCCTGCCCTGGAGCCTTTAGAGGGAATGCCACCCTAAAGATTCCTCCATTTCAGACCCCCGGCCTCCAGAGCCGGGAGAGTGCATTATGCTGTTCCGAGTGCCCTGGTTTGTGATGCTTTGCTGTGGCAGCAGCGAGAGACTAACACGGGGGCCGGTGCTGCTGGGAGGACGTCGGGAATTTCATACTCATGTTTTAGACTCAGGGCTTCCCGCTAGATCTTAGTAAAGTGATAAAATGGCTGCGCAAATAGGTGCAGTGGGAGAAACGGCTATGATTATTCTGGTCAATCACCATGCCCCAAGACACAGGGCCAGCCAGCTGATGGCTGCACACTGTGGGAACCCAAGGGAAAGGGCGTGGAGCTTCATCCTTGGGCACTGTTACCGCAGGGATTCCCAACCATGGGACGCGCCGCCTTCCCCTTCCCCACCAGGGGACACGGGTGGTGTCTGCAGAGATTCTGGTTGTCTTAACTGGAGGGAGCTTTGACAGAGCGGGCAGAAGCCAGAGGTGCTCAGTCCAGCCCAGGGCATAGAGGGCGCCCCAGTGAGCGCTACCCAGTCCAAACTGTCAACAGTGCCAAAGTGGAAAAGCTGCTTTAGAGCAACATGGAAGTGGTGCTGCTGGGAATGTGGCTATGTGCACGACCTGCTAGCTGGCTTCTGTTTATGTCTGTGAATTCACCATCTAACTTCACTGAACTCTAAAACAAAGAAACACTCCAAAAGGGCTAAAACCCAAATGTAAACACCCTCTCCTTTTCAAAAATTTTTCAGCAAGGCCCAATAAAGATTTAGACACTGTCTCACACACACACAAAAAAAAAGAGAAGAAGAAAGAAACCTGCAAAAGATGCCCGCCCCTCCACCCATCAGCTCAGGTCTGGGACACGGAGCACAATCCTGTCCAAATAACCCCAAGACCACCGTTTCCATCCCTCCTTATCAGGCAGGAGGCCGTGGCTCTGGGAGGGGACTCAGGTGTCCTGAGCACTTGGTGCAGTGGCGCTCCGAGGGCGAGAAGAGCGACACAATCCTGCGGAGTGTTTCTAGCACAACATAAATGAGTCTAAAACATTGTGGTTCTATGGCCCGAAAATCAGACACCCCGAAAGCTGCTGAATTCTAGTCCAGGCAACTCCTGCAAGAAGTCCACTCCAGGTAGAAATCTATAATCACAGAAACAAGGCAAACGGGCCTCAGGTAACTACGATGCTGTCATAAGACGTATTTGGCCTTGTCCCTGCTTCCCAGCACACAACTCCTAAAACCCTTGACTCTCTGCAGTGGTGAGAGTCTTGTGCGTGCTCATGAGATGGCTGCAGACCCCTAGGTAGCTTCAGGATGAAGACCAAGGTGCAATTAGGGGGTTGGTCAGAGGCACAGGCCACAACCTGGACTTGCCATTGGTATCCAAAGGGTTGGGGAGCTTCTTGTGGGACTGAGCCCTCACTGTGGGGGTCTGAGGCTCGCCCCAGGTGAACAGCATCAGTATGGAGTTAAATTAGAGGACGGCTAGCTGCTTTCTGCTGCAGAGCTGCGTGCTGGTGGGGAGAAACCCGCACACATCTAATGTCAGAGTGTTGTGTTGGCTGTGTGACAGTAGGGAAAACACTTCGGTTTTGTCCTGTATCCTTGAAATGAAAAAAATCTCTCTGGTCTGCAATAGCTCAAACATCAGGTCAACTGAAAAATAACACGAGCAACAAAAGAAAAAAACAAACATAAAACTGGACTTCATCGAAATTGAAAAACTTTGTGCATCAAATCAACTGGATGGTCTCAGCCGGAAGCCTTGGCCAGGCCCTCTCAGCTGTGTCACTGGGGGATATTGGGCTGGTTGGTTCTTTCTAAGGCATGGGCAGGGCTATCTGCACCATGGGCGGAGCTGCAGGATATACTGTGGGCGGGGCTGTCTGTGCACTGTGGACAGGGCTGTCTGCACTGTGGGTGGGGCTGTCTGTGCACTGTGGGTGAGGCTGTCTGTGCACTGTGGGTGAGGCTATGGGATGCACTGTGGGGTGCTCGGCAGCATCCCTGGTCCACTCACCAGATGCCAGAAGCATCCCCCACCCTAGTTATGACAAAAATGACTCCGGACATTCCCAGTGCCTCCTGGGGTTAACACTGCCCCGACTGAGGGCCACCCCAGTGTCCTACCTGCACGATAAAGGGATGCAGCCCATGGCACTGGTCCCCCGGCACATGCAGCTTGGCGAACACCACTGCGTGAGTGGCTGTCTTGCCCATGTTGCCAACCCAAAATTTGGCAGCTTCGAAATCAGGGGAATGTATGATGAATTCCTGCACGAGGGAAAAAGGTTGGTTATAATTAGCAACTGAAGCACATGCAGAATGGGTGTTTTCCTTTTAGAAAGGCTCCATTTTCTACGTTCAAAATCTCTGAGGCAAAAGTTGAAACCGATCGCACATTTCAGTTCTTGTATGGCACAGGCAGGCCTCTTTTTTAAACAGAGCCTATTCCTGGGCCTTATGACTTAAAGAACCTTCAGATGCAAAATACTCCACAGGCAGGCAAATGCTGCTGGGGAGTTTTCATTATCATGCACAGTCTTCGTCCCTGACCACACCCCTTAGGTGGAAACCCTGCCCTGCAGTCCACTCAGTCCTTTAGGACATCTAATTCACAACACACCACGGCCCTCTGGCTGTCTCTCCCATCCACAGCTCCATGATTGACAGTTACATCCCAAATGCCCCGAGCACAAGGCAGCCGCTCAGCACATCAGAAGGAAGGAAGGAATGAACGCATGCGTAAACTAGCAGAAAGGCTGTGGCATCACAGCATTCGGGGTTTGGCTAGAAGGGGTGTGGACGGATCCCCCAGGAACACTGAGGGTGCTGCATGGGTTGGGAGCGAAGAGCACGTGGGAACAGGCAGGAGCTGGGCTGCTGGGGCTGAGCCTGCCCCAGGGGCGTCTGCTGGGAGCCCGTGAGTAAGGCTGGGAGGGAGGATGTGGATGTGGCCAGGATGTGCAAGGGAACAAAGATGAGCGCCTTCAGGCAGACAGCCTACAGGTGGCCCACAGAGCCGCCCTGGGCCACCTTGGGAGACACCGATCCTCCACACGGGGCTTGCCAGTCACTGCCAGGGGCTGTCGGCGGTAAGTTCTGGTGCTGGTTCCAGCCCCTGCAGGGTGGGAGGTGCCCGGGAGGGCTTCCTCCTGTCCAGCCAGTGGGACTTTGTAAACCGAGAGTAGTGAACAATCATCCTACAGATTCTGAAGTTTCACAGAGAAGTAGGAGGTGGGGTGGCTGCCAGCCATGCCTTCTGTTCTCTTCTCTCAGGGGACCACCAGCTCTTCGCCTGCCAGGGTGAGGAGGGCTCCCAGTCTCAGCCAGTCTCAGCCAGGCTTTCCCCATTCACTCTCCAGCACGTGGCAGTTCTGATACCTCCACCCGTCACTCATTCTCCGCAGTGCAGGTGTGCACTGCAACACCAGCCCAAGCCGGCTCCTCGGGGCCTGCCCTCCTCCACACAGATCTTTCCCACCGTCTCAGCTGTCTGGCTGCCTCCCTGCGCCCCGGCACACCAGCTTTGCTCTCTGGAGGGCCTCCATGGCACCTGGCACACCTCACTTCTCCCTGTTAGTGTCTGTGTCTCCCCCCGGCCCACAACTTCAGGACAGCAGAGACCTGTCTGCTGTGCTCACTGCTTCCTGCCCAGTTGCAGAAAGCTGTGCCTCACACACAGCAGGTACCCAGCAACGCCTGTTGTCCAAATAAACGCTCAGCCAGCAGCCCAGCCTGGATCCCAGGCACCCCAACTCTATGGATCTGATGCTTAGGGATCAAATGCCAAGGAGGAGGTGGAAATGGGAACTGGTCCTCTGATGCCCCACCCCAAGGCTACCTGGGTGCTGTCGTCCATCTGACTGTCAGAAAGGGCCCCACCTCCTGGCACTGCAGGCCACAGGCAAAGAGAGCAGCAGGAGGAGAAGCAGCCACGGGGCGAGAAAGACCTGGGTTCAGATAAAGATATCTTGTGGCTTAAAAGAAAGTTCCCAAGGGAGCCTTGGCCCCACTCCCAAGGCCCCACAGCAGGGGCACCCTGTAAGAGGACCACCTCTTATCCCTGCTGGGCCGGGGGTCCACTTGGGTTCATTACTGGGCTCTTCCATGCAGTACCCCAGGCAGAGTCCACACAGCCCATGCTGTGGAATGAATGAATGGATGAAAGAATGAATGGATGTATGGAGGAATTAATGGATGGATGAGAGAATGAATGGATGGATGGAAGAATGAATGGATGGATGACAATTAATGGATGGATGGAAGAATGAATGGATAGATGAAAGAATGAATGGATGGATGAGAGAATGGATGGAAGAATGAACGGATGGATGGAAGAATGAATGGATGGAAGAAAGAATGGATGGAAGAAAGGATGGAAGGATGACCGTTGAGCATATCCGCAGGTGCAGAGCTTCACTTCCTGCCACACAACAGTCCTCCCTGACCACTGCCAACGGGAGAGGGTGGAAGGCGGGTGAGGAAAGACTGGCAGGGAGACCTGGGCCTCAGGGACAAGCGGAGGCCAAGGAGAGTGACGTGGCGGCAGGGAGGCAGGGCCAGGGGAACAGAGCGGGGTGGGTGGGGACCCTCCCCATCCTCTGTCCCAGGCTTGCACCCCTCCACAACACTGACAGTCCCAGGGCATCCATCTGTAGCCCATCTCCCTCCACCCCTGCACCCCTCCTCAGCACTGACAGCCCCAAGGCATCCATCTGTGGCCCATCTCCCTCCACCCCTGCGCCCTCCTCAGCACTGACAGCCCCAGGGCATCCATCTGTGGCCCATCTCCCTCCACCACACCAGAAGCTCCCAGGCAGTAGACTCGATGCAGGTACCAGAGAGGTCAAGAGGATGGCAAGGGCCTGAGGAATCAGACTGCGGTGGCAGAAATGGACAAGGCAGGCTGTTCGCAGAGGGACAGCCACAAAGGGCAGAGGGCAGGGAGCATGTTATACCCACGGGGCCCACCGTAGAAACCACAGGCCATATGAACAGTTTATGAATCCACTATGAATAGGCAGCCAGGTAAACAAGACAATAAATGTTACAGAATGAGAGCTTCTTCACTGCACTCAAATTACACACAAATCCAAACCACGATCAATTCCCCGTAAAGCTCGTGGTGGGCACAGGCTTTGTCTCCCAACGCCTGGTCTCCTGAGCCCCACTTTTCAGTGTGATGAATCTCAGTGCGTATTTCTACATACGTGTATGTGGACAGGCCTCTTGCTTTAATTTTTTTTTCTTATTCCTGGCAACCACATTTGCACTCATGACATCTCATACACTCCAAACCCAGGGAGCCGGCGGAAGGTAACACCTACCTTAGTGGCAGGATCGTAGTGGGCAGTCGTACGAATGGCCTTGGTATTACTGCCGTGGCTTAATTCGGTCAGAGCAAAACATCCAAAAATCTAAAAGTCAAAGCACAAAACGATGGAAAGCAAGAAAAGTTCTTGGTGCACATGCCCAGAAGGCATGTGCTGCCATCTTTCCTTTAAAGATGAAACCACATATCAAAGCCCCAAATTTCCATCTACCCAACTAGTGACTTGACTGAGTTGTGCTGCCACGCTTGGCTGGCAACCACAGCAGCCTAAACCAAGCTGACCGCAGCTGCTCCAAGTCAGCAAGGTGGCAGGAACTGCTTGTCAGGAGAAGACAGTGGAAGGCCTCAGCGACAATTCGCCTGGTGCTGAGGAAGTCAATGTGCCTGTGTTTGCTAAAGAACAGTGCTAGCTAATTGGTGAGAAGCCTGAGAACACTAGGAAACAAGAAGAGCATGAGCCCCCTAGGCACCCCCTTCTACAATCGTCCCTTTTCACAAATCTCTACGGAGATCAAGCAAGAGAACCAGGCTCACAATTCACCGGGAACCAGAACTTACCTCCATACTGAAGATCTTTTGAATATAGCTGAGATGTCTTTCAGAACCAGAACTGTAAACTGCTGATCCAAAAACCTGAAAGTATAACATTGTCCTATCAACAGGGGGCAGGTAAGAAGAGTATGGCTCTTCTGGAACATCACAACAGAGGACGGCACGCTAACACCATGCCCACGCTGGTTCCCTGCCACAATGCACTTTCCCCGAGGTGGAGAACGAAGCAACGAGAGGTTAGCCAGCAGCCCGGATGCCCCAGGCCAGGGTCTCCCAACACACAGCGGCCCAGGTCCCTGAGTTCATGTGACTGGTAAGACCTGTGTCCCTGTGCCGAGCAGCTTGTGTAAGGCACACAGAATCACTTGGGACTTAAGATGCCTGCAAGGAGTCCTGGGGGTCTGAGGACAGCAGGGAGACAGAACAGGAGGGTATGTGGAGCGCAGAGACCACCGGCCCATCAAACATTGCAGGCAAGGCTAAGGGCAAAGCCATTTTGCCCAAGCTCAGCTCTGCTGGTATGTTACAAAGGAAGGAAAACACAGGTTTCTTACTTTGGCCCACTTTTTTTTTTTTTTTTTTCGTAATAGCGATAATCATTTGTCTCTTTTTTTGTATGAGGAAAAAAAAAAAAAAAAAAGTCCCACCAGCTCCTCTTCTGATGGGACTTGAAGCTTCACCACATTGTATTTTATTCAAGGACTTATGTGTGTAAATTTGCAAATACATGATGGTGGATGGGCTTGAAAACAAAAGAATGAAAAGGGGGACTGAAATTTTTTTAAAAACATTAAAAAAGATAATTTTAAAAATTTGCAAATGTAGCTGGAAAAACTGGAGTTTCTCTGCTTCCTGGTTGGCCCTGGGACAGGCATCCCTCAAGGCTCAGTGCAGCAGCACGAAAGCCGTGTCCTTCTCCCCTAGGCCGCACGCTCACCAAGGTATGGAGGAGGTACTTGACAGCCAGAGAACAGTCATACATCCCCAGGCACTGAATCAAGGCGGGGACCTTCAGAGGGCTCTTGAACATGTCTTCGACACTGAGGAAGTCATACTCGAAGATCCGCTTGCATCGAAGGAAGTTCAGCTCACGATACTTCTCCAAGGACAGATCGGCTCCAGGGGAACGGGCAAAAAGAGGGTCGTTCTCAAGAGCTGAGAAGATGGTTTTCTGGAAATGCAGGAGATGGGGAAGGTTTATTTGGAGTAAAAGATGAACTCTCCATGTGCCCTTATATAATTTACCTCCAGGTCACAGGCTTCATGGGACGCTGTCTGACTGAAGAGACACCCAGACAGAGATATGACTACCATTCCCAACGGACTAGAGGGCTGGAGGCTTAAGAAACATCAACAATCCATGTTCATTTCCAGACTCCTCATCAATTCCCTGAGGCCTCTCCTGGGGTGCAGAAAGGAGAGCGGCTGCGCTGCCTGGGATGAGCCTCACCCGGCAGAGGGGGAGCTGTAAGAGCCAGAAATTCCATTGTGCTAATGAATTAAGACCCCACCGGGAAAAAAGACAAGCTGCACGCAACTGCACACCTCACCTTAAAGCGGAGCATGTCCTCCCCTTCCGTGAACAGCGCCAGCTCCTTCCAGCTGAACGACGCTCTTGCCCGGTAGGCGTCCAGGGGTCCCCTGGGGAATTCTGGGAGCAGAGCTGCGTCACCTCCTTCTACAGTGGGTGCCATCGTGTGATGAAAGCCTGCACAAAACATGCAACCTGAATCCATGTGCTCCCATCTATGGGTTCAAACCACCTCCACCAACAGGAGAGCCGGCAACACCTTACAAGTCAGAGAAAAGCAAACTCGAAACCCAAAAGGACAGCAAAAGAGAATCACCCTGTGAATGGCTAGCATCATTTTCCCAAAAGAAAAGGCGAGAAGAATTCCCTCGTCCACTCCTGAAGACAGATGCCAAGGACACAGAAGACAGCCAGGCACAGCCTGGGGATCACCAGGGACACAGTGCAGAGGGTTCATCGGAGGCCTTGCTTTCTGTTGCACGGCCTTGTCTGAGAGCACTGTGCCCTCTTGGGAGCACCCTGGACATCCAGACCCATCCCCAAGGCTCACTAAACCCAGGGTCAGGAAGCATTCCCTCTGGAATCCAGTCGGTGCCAGCTGGTCCACTCTGGCCACACATGATGGTACCTCACGTCCCCACCCACTGCTGCTGGTCCACCCGGACACAGGACCTCTGGCACAGGCTTCTACACTGATTGCCCTCGACATATAGACACCTGGCTTCCCGCTAACACAGCAGGCCTCCCAAACTCAGCTCTCTTGACCAAATAGCTGTTCTGGAATTTTCTGGATAGACTGGGTCCTTTTCCAAGTGGCTTGGCTGATGAAGGTACTGAAGGGAATGGCTAGTGAACCCAGGTCTGGCTGAGTCCTGGGCGTGGGCCCCCTACCTTCACTCTTTAAGGCCTAGAGGAAAGAGGAACTTTTGAGTCCTTTGAGCTGAAACAGCCTGCGGTGCTGGAGCCTGAGTCTGGCTTGCTATTCTGTCCTATCCTTCCTTAGAATCGGAGGAAAGTACACGGCACTGGCCGGCCGGTTAAAAACGATTAGTGTGGCCGCCGGACTTAAGACTCAGGTGTGAGGCTTTCTGGGAAAAGGCTTTCTAACAACCCCCAACCCTTCTGGGTTGAGCACTGGTCTGCTGGAACCAGCTTCCACTTCCACAATTTTCTTGGGGAAGTCATGGGCTGACTAGAGGCAGAAAGCTGTCATCCCAAACTCCCGGCATTGGCAGGTCCAGATCATGGCACAGCCAGAAGTCTCTACTCAACAGTCGCCCATGCGTGCGCCCTCCTTCTCCTTCTGACCCATACCTCCTGCGTCCCAACCACGACTTTCTTGAAAGTGTAGCCCCCAAAATTCTCCTTACCTCTGAATCTACTTCCTCTGATCTCTCCTAGGTAGTAATGCTTCAGACTTTCACTTCCTCTCCCAAGTATTAAAGCAAGTTGTATCTCCAAAGGGATCTAAGGAAGCTCTACGCTGTGTCCTTAGGCACCTAGGGTATGAACCCAGGGAGTCTTGTCCCTGGTGTCCCTCCCAATTTAGGTATACAGCTCTCGACATGGGCAGTTATGTGGGACCTACCACTGTTGCCAGGGCCCCAAGTTTGTAAATGGCTAGGAGGATTGCTCTCCCATTGTGTAAGATGCTCTCCTCCCCTAGTTTCTACCCAGCTTACCTCCCCCACCGCAATACAATCTCCAAGTCTTAGCTCCTAGGCCAGGGCCTTAGAACTGATGACCCAGTACTTTAACAACTGGAACTATGTCTACAACAACACAATAGATCAGGATGAAAGCGAATTGAGTAAATTAAAGGGAGGCACGGGGAGGGGGAAGGGGGAAGGATAGCATTAGGAGACATACCTAATGTAAATGACGAGTTAATGGGTGCAGCACACCAACATGGCACATGTATACATATGTAACAAACCTGCACGTTGTGCACACGTACCCTAGAACTTAAAAAAAAAGGGAAGCACATGTTCCTACAGTGGCAAATGGGGCAACGAGCGAATGTACTTCCGCTGTGTTCCCAAAATCCATCTACCAAGAGAGAAAAAGAGAAGAGAGAGAAAGAGACAGAGGGGGAAGAGAGAAGGACAGAAAGTCAGAGAGAAAGAGAGAGACGAAAAGTAAAAGAGAGAAAGGAAGAGAGAGATATACAAGTAGTTAAGAAAAACCAGTGCACCCCATTCCTTTAAAAGCCAGGGTAAATTTAAAACCTGTAATTGATAACTGAAGGTCTTCTCCGTGACCCTGTAACACTCCAATACCGCTTTGTTGTCAGTTACACAGTGTAATGCAAACATCAGGAAAAAAACTTCAAAACTCCATCTTAGGCCCAGAGTAAAACTTACAAACCCTACTGAGCTTGGCAACCTCGGTGTTTTTTTAAATAGAGATCAGGAGGAGCAGGCAAACCCTATTGAACTTGGCAACCTCGGTTTTTTTTTCACAAGAGATCAGGAGGAGCAGGCGGAACGGGACAAATGGGCCCTCAGGCTAGCGGACATTTATATGTTGCCCCCATTTGCTACTATAGGAATATGCACCTCCCTTTAATTTGCTCAACTGCTTTCATCCTGATCTATTGTGTTGTTGTAGACATAGTTCCTGTTGTTAAAGTACTGGGTCATCAGTTCTGAGGCCCTGACTGAGGAGCCAAGGCTTCGAGATTGTATCGCAGTAGGGGAGGTAAGCTGGGTAGAAATTGGGGGAGGAGAGCATCTTACTTTGGAGGCTCTGGAAAAGGGAAAGGCTGGGCAAATGGAACGCCTAATAGGGCTCCCTTGCAGTGCGATCTACAAGGACACTTTAAGAAAGACTGTCTGAATAGAAATAAGCCGCCCCCTCATCCATGCCCCTTATGTCAAGGAAATCACTGGAAGACCCACTGCCCCAGGGGACGAAGGTCCTCTCAGTCTGAAGCCACTAACCAGATGATCCAGCAGCAGGACTGAGGGTGCCCGGGGCAATCGCTAGCCCATGCCATCACCCTCACAGAGCGCCAGGTATGCTTGACCATTCAGGGCCATGCCACTGTACTACCAGCTCCCCTTACCAAGAGTTTCTATGGAGAATGTGGCTTCCCAGAAATACTGATGCCCCATCATACAGGAGTTTTTCTAAAGGAAACCCCACTTTCACCGCCCACACCTATATGCCCCTGCACTTCAGGCCATACATTTCAATCCCTGTATCTTTAACCTCCTTGTTACGTTTGTCTCTTCCAGAAATCAAAGCTGTAAAACTACAAATCGTTCTTCAAATGGAGCCCCAGATGCAGTCCATGACTAAGATCTACAACGGACCCATGGACCGGCCTGCTAGCCCACGCTCCGATGTTGATGACATCAAAGGCACCTCTCCTGAGGAAATCTCAACAGCACAACCCCTACTATGCCTCAATTCAACAGGAAGCAGTTAGAGCGGTCGTCACCCAACCTCCCTGACAGCACTTGGGTTTTCCTGTTGAGAGGGGGGCTAAGAGACAAGACTAGCTGGATTTCCCAGGCCAACTAAGAATTCCTAAACCTAGCTGGGGAAGGTGACCACACTCACCTTTAAACATGGGGCTTGTCACTCAGCTCACACCCAACCAATCAGGTAGTAAAGAGAGTTCACTAAAATAGCAGTGACGCTAACAACAGGAGGTAAAGAAATAATCTGATCATCTATCATCTGAGAGCACAGGCAGAGGGACAATGATCAGCATATAAACCCAGGCAGTCAGGACGAATCAGGCAACCCCCTTTGGGTCCCCTCCCATTGTAAAGGGAGCTCTGTTTTCACTCTATTAAATCTTGGAACTGCACACTCTTCTGGTCCGTGTTTGTTCCAGCCTGAGCTGGGCTTTCACTTGCCATCCACCACTGCTGATGGCGGCTGTTGCAGACCTGCTGCTGACTTCCACCCCTAGGGATCCAGCAGGGTGTCCGCTGCGCTTCTGATCCAGCCAGGCACCCATTACCGCTCCCAAGCTAGAGGCTCGCCACTGTTCCTGCGTGGCTAAGTGCCTGGGTTCCTCCTAATGGAGCTGAACACTAGTCACTGGGTTCCATGGTTCTCTTCCGTGACGCACAGCTTCTCATAGAGTTATAACACTCACTGCACGGCCCAAGGTTCCATTCCTTGGAATCCCTGAGGCCAAGAGCCCCAAGTCAGAGAGCGAGAGGCTTGCTGCCATCTTGGGAGCGGCTCGCCACCACCTTGGGAGCTCTGGGAGCAAAGACCCCCCAATAACAATGCCTGGATAGTGCCCGGCGTCTAGACAGGGTCTATTGTGTGGGTTGCTGCATTCCAAATACGGTGAGGTCTGGCTAGTGCCCAGGGTCTACTGTCTGGGGCTTCTGCATTCCAAATACAGTGACGCCTGCCTAGTGCCCAGGGTCTACCATCTAGGCTGCTGTCATTCACATGAGAGGCTCGGAGCAGCTTCTGGCATGGAAGTGGGGGCTTCAAGACCACTATTCTGGCAACAGCCTCCACCAGTCTTCTTTCTGCGGTGCGGATCACTCTCCCCTTCATGAACAGCTGCCCAGTTCAATGTGCAAAGCCCTCCAAACGCCCAGCACGTGGGCCACCTGCACTCCCGGCCCCTGCTCTGTGTAATCCTGGACCCGCCACCCGCCAATCCGCACAGCTCCCACGTCCCCGGGCCTGGCATGTGCGGTACCCCCTCTCCCGCCCCGCCGCGACCGCGCACCGGAGTCTAACGTAGCCTCCACCTTCGGGCTTGCCGGTCCCCGCTGCTCTGCACGGTCCAACTCACGCAGCAGGTGCTCAGGGGATGCCTGTAGGCCCGCGACCGACCCGGCAGGATGAGGACTAGCTGTCCGCGAAGTGCTGCTGTCTCCGGCCTGGCCCCACTGCCCTCCCGCAGTGCCTCTCGGCCTCCGTCCGTCCCATGGGCGGGGCCAGGGACGCGGGCTCCCTGACGTCATCGTGCCGCGCCACCTTCGTCGCCCGGGAAACGTGGACGCCGCTGCCACCCGGGCAGGGCCGGGAACCAGGAAGCTTCGCCCAGGCGCTCCCGGGCACTCTTGGCTTCTCTGCCTTTAGGCAAGCCCTGGCTGACCGACTCAGGCGAGTCGCTGCCCTCTCGGAGCGCCGTAGTTCTGAGATGCAGTTCACACCCCGGCACTTCCTGGGGTCCACTTCAAGGCTACCGGATCAGGACCCCCAGTCTGGGGCCGGGCATTTTCAAATTAATCAACAGGCACTATGTGATGGCTCACACCTGTAATCCCAGCGCTTTTGGAGGCCGAAATGGGAGGATCGCTTGAGGCCAGGAGTTTGAGACCAGCCTGGGCAACATAGCAAGATCCGGCATGCCCAAGGGCTTGCTGAAGTTTGAGAACCGTGGTTCTACAGAGTTCCTCAGACTAGTGGAAGTGGGCCCTCGTTGACCAGAGCAGCAACCAGCTCAATCACCCACCCTTTACTTGTTTTTCTTTGTCTCACGCTTTCCACTTCCTCACTCGTGCACTCCGAGATCAAATCCATATTCAATTACCTGCACCCAAATCCTTATCTCAAGGTCTGTTTTGGGAGATCCAAACTAAGACACACACACACCTCTTATGAAATTTACAGAGACAGAATCAACTAGACTTAGTAATTCGCCATTTAAGAACAAGGAAGAGCCAGGCGCTGTGCGCCATGGTTCTCTCATCTGCAGTCCCAACTACTTGTGAGGCTGAAGCGGGAGAATCACTTGAGCCCAGGAGTTTGAGTCTAGCCTGGGCAACATAGTGAAATTCCGTGTTTAAAACAAAACAAAACAAAACACACAAAAAAGTGAAAAAAGCACAACAAGGAAAAATAAATCCAAAGGTTTGCATTTACAGGGAACTAAAAGATGGGCAGCACAGCTCAGTTATGGGGAAGAGAAAGATAAGTATAATTTAAAATGTGTGTCAAGTTTAAGATGTTGGTAGGACATCTGGGTGGGGATACTCAGCTCATGTTTGGAAATTCTGTCTACTTCTGTTCTACTCTGAAATACCTTCTCCTTGATTCCATGGCAACATTTTTCTTTAGTCATTACTCTTATTTAAAACAGACCTATAATTATGGGTATCAGTGGGAGCATCCGATTGCAAAAGCAGGAGGAAGGGACTGAACGATCATTTCAGGCCTGGCAGGTACCCTGCTAAGCAGTCAGAAGTGATCCTTAATCCAGACCAGCCTTCCCAGCCAGGGCTCTGTTGTGTTGTTGCAAAGGTCCCTGAATCCTCAAGAGCAACCAGGATTGCCTGAAGACAAAGCCATCGTGGTCTAACAAAAATACACGCCACTGTTTTTCAAATGTTTGGAGATACTGTTGAGAGTAATAAAATAACCATTTATTGCAGAACTCACACCTCCTTTAGGTCGCAATTTCTGCCAAAATTACAAGTACTAATAAATTGGGTTCACGTGTGATACTGACATTAGAAAAACATCTTCCGGCTGGGTGTGGTGGCTCACACCTATAATCCTAGCACTTTGGGAGGCCGAGGTGGGCAGATCACTTGAGGTCAGGAGTTTGAGACCAGCCTGGCCAACATGGTGAAACCCTATCTCTACTAAAAATACAAAAATTAGCTGGGCATGGTGGCGGGCACCTGTAATCCCAGCTACTTGGGAGGCTGAGGCAGGAGAATCGCTTGAACCCAGGAGGTGGAGGTTACAGTGAGCCAAGATAGCGCCATTGCACTCCAGCCTGGGGGACAAGAGTGAAACTCCATCTCAAAAAATAAAAATATCTTCCCACTGGGAAACGATTTGGGTCCACTGCAGGAGTGACAGGCAGAGGGAAGCCATTTCTAGGTAGACACTGGAAGGCAGGCTAAAGGGGAAGAACTCAGGGCATCTAGTGGCCAGTACAGGTAAGAGACAAGGGCCTGAGATAAGGCCATATTGGTGGAGTCGGAGGCTGGAGAGGGAGCTGAGTGACTTTTTATTATTGGTTTTATTTAAGTTAGGGCATCATCACAAAATGACATGGAGAAAACAAAGCACAGGTTTCCAGCCTTGGTCAGGTCCTCAGGCTCCCCTCCCTTCTCTGCTTCTCCCTTTTCGCCCTCCTCTTCTCACACTTATCTGCCTCTACCCTCTGGCTTGTCAGGGCTGGCCTGTAGCACTCTTCCTTCTCTCCATTTAGTTTCCCAGATTGGCATCTGCAGGTAAGACTGTAGTTCTCAGCTTCGACCATGGCTTCACCTTGGGGCCACCTTCTGGTGTTTGCCTGCTCACCCTGTAGCACTCTTCATCCACCGTGCTCCTCTCCTGGGCCTGAGGACACTGCTGAGCAGCATCTGACAGGGAACACGGGCCTCTCTGTGAGTCAGGGTGGTGGGGAGGTAAGAAGAGAGGAAGGGGTCATGCTATGCTCGGTTGTATTGCTGGGACCTGGGTGGATGGAGAAGCCACTTGGGACTGGCACCAAGGGAGCAACTTTGGGGGAAAAAATAGGGGAATTTGCCTTTCTTTATACATGTTTGTTAGCTATTTCTGGGTGAAACGGCCAGGAGCTGCACGTGGACCCCTGGTGTGAACAGCAGGGGTGGCATGAGTGTCATCAGTAACTCAGTGGACAATGACCCATGGGAGAACTGCCATAGGGCCCCACCCACTCCCTCTCTTGTTTATCTTGACTTCTGTCCCACTCTGCTCCCTTCGGCACACCCATTCCCTGCTCAGTTTTAGACCTTGGTGCTATTGACTGTCATTGGCCATTGTGGTAATTTGCACACATGGTTAAAACTAAAGTTGCCTCCCACCCTCTGGTCATTTGTCTGCCTTTATCCCTTCTGTCTTTCCCACCACCACCTCCCTGGCTGGTTCCACATTCCCAAAAGAGTGGCTGGAAGAAGTCACCAGGTCCTTGGGAAGGGAATGGGTTGTGATGATTCGACACCAAGAATGACCGATCACAGCTCGACCACGGTCACCACCACCCAGCAGCCACCTCACTTCCCCTAGTCACACCACATTAAGTGGTAGGCAGCTGAGAAAATGGTGTTGGGAAAGAGTTGTGGAACATAAATGCGGTTTTGTAAAAGACGCACATACAAATGGCTGTCCCTATGGCAAATGTTACCAGCAAAAGCCAATGAAATTTTTTGTTTTTCGAGATGGAGTCTTGCTCTGTTGCCCAGACTGGAGTGCAGTGGTGCCATCTTGGCTCACTGCAAGTTCCGCCTCCCGGGTTCGCGCCATTCTCCTGCCTCAGCCTCCCCGGTAGCTGAGATGACAGGCATCCACCACCACGCCTGGCTAATTTTTTGTATTTTTAGTACAGACGGCGTTTCACCGTGTTAGCCAGGATAGTCTTGATCTCCTGACCTCGTGATCCACCCACCTCGGCCTCCCAGAGTGCTGGGATTACAGGTGTGAGCCACCGTGCCTGGCCTGAATTTTTTTTTAATTACAAACCCAACATATTCAATTTAAAGGGTTTCTATGCTATTAAGTTCTTGGCATCACGTGAGTTTCTGGCTGAGGCCCTGGAAGGTAATGGGGGCTGCTGTGAAGTGACTGGAGCCGTCATTCTGATCAGCACACCAGAGCTGCCACTCAGGGTGCTCAGAGTAGCCAGGGCCTTCCAGCTGGAGCCTTCACTGTTGCTTCTCGAGTTCCAGTCAGCTTCCAGCACTTAGACGCTGATGACTCAGAATGGAGAGGCTTTAGGGGTCCCATGTGAATGTCTCTACTGCTGTATTGTTCAACAGTAGCCCCTAGCCTCATGTGGCTATTTAAACGTGCATTAGTTCAATAAATTCAATTTCCCATAAATCTAATTTAATCAGTTGCCTAGTTGCACTAGCTGTACTCAAGTGCGGGTCAGTAGCCAAAAGTAACTACTTTATTGGACAGTGCAGACATAGAACATTGCCATTATCACAGAAAGTCCTATAGGACAGTGCTATGTAGACACTATTTCCAGCACCAGGCAGTGGGTCCTTGGCCTAAGCCTGGGTATCTCCAGCTTTCTCCCTGCTCCCTATACCCAGCAGCCTCTGGCTGAGGCCTGCTTCCCCACAGGGAAACAGTCGAGATAGTTCTGCCGTCTGCACCATTCTCCTGACACACTCTCTCATCTCTGTCACTGTTTCATTCAGCAATCATTCACTATGAGGTCCTACTGGATTAGGGTTGGCCCTAATCCAATATGAACATTGCCCTTATTAGAAGAAGAAGAGATTCGGAGAAACAAGAACACCACGTAACCACGTAGGCAGAGATTGAAGCGCTGGAGGCATAGGTCAAGGAATGCCACTGATTGCTGGCAACCACCGCAAACTAGGAGAGACGAATGGATTCTCAGAGCCTTTAGAACTATGAGAGAATAAATGAGTGTTGTTTTAAGCCACCAAACTTATGGTAATTTGTTATGGAAGCCCTGGAAAACTAAGACAGCGTAAAAATCCATTACTGTATGTGATCAAACACTGAACGGGCTAGGGTGAGCAGGTGTGTCTGCAAGGATAGATCTCATTTGCCTTTTACTTAATTCTACCGACATTTGGTCTGTGCTTTTCTCTCTAATAAAACACATGATTTGAATTATTTTTTCACTTATCTGACTCCGACAGAGATCCTTTAGGGAGTGGCAAAATCCCAATGGAGGGATTAATGTACAAAAATAATTAAGAATATTAGAGGTTTTTGGATTTCGCTAGAGATTCTGCAGACCAGCTGCTGATGATGTTGGACTAAATTGGCAGTATCCAACCTTCTTTGTTCCTCCTGGGGACACGTAGTAAGGAAGGAGACCTCTACTACTCCTGCTGCCCTCCTCCCCTCACACCTTGCCTAGTTCACAAGACAGGAGGAAAGAGAGAAAGCAATAAGTTAGAAAGAAACAAAAGTAAGATAAATAGCCAGACAACCTTGGCATCACCACCCGGCCCTAGGAATTAA